AGAATTCCGTCAACAACGGGATTGGGAAATATAATTACTAGCGCGCCAGGCGCAGCCAAGCGTAGCGGAAATACATTAGCTTAAAAGGGTCACGCGTAAAGTGAAGGGTGTTGTGGTTGTAAATATGACTACAAAATCAATTTCTTGAAAAGAATAATTGTGAATAAAGCTCTTTTTTCCATCTCTGGAACATAATTATAACCAAAGATTGGAGACCTATCAAAGTTTTGTTGTGATCAAGAAAACCTCATCAAACTTTCAGGAAAACCTAATTGTTTTTAGTGCCTTTGTGTGTTTGTACTGTGTGCCAAAATCACCTGAGTCCAGTTCTGGAGCACTCTTGCATTTTTTGTGGGAAAAGACGGTGCTGGCTACACAGTCCAAATTTTACCATCTTTGCGTTGCGTTGTGCTTCCGAAATTTTGTATTTTACAAAAGACTTGTCTGACTAATGTATTTTTGTGGAAATCTGTGAACTGTTGTGTATTTTATCTTGCCAAAACTGTTGTGCATCTTTTTTTGTCTTGTCAATTTGCCTGTCAATTTGAACAAAGGCTTGCCCTGTTTGGGAGAGAATCCCTGGTTGGTTTGCGCACCGGCCAATTGTTGTGTTGAATTCTTTTCTCTGACTAAAATCTCTGCCAACTTTTGTCACATAATTCTATTTATAAGTTTTCTCAATCATCTTTTATAAGTTGCTGCAATTCTCAACAAGGTGTACAGCTTGAAAAATTTCTTCTCCTGATAAAACCATACAAGAAGACCAAACGGAGGAAAAAAATATCCCACATTAACAGACCAATCTTGTACAAAAGCATCTGTACAGATGGCTTGCTCCTCAAAATACCAAGAGCATTGATTTTCTAGTTGTTGGTTGTGTTTTGTGGCAAACCAGTCTATTTCTGGTATCAATTGGAACTCTTCGGTGATTTTTATGAAGTAGTCCTCTTTTAATTTCCATTCTGCATCAAATTTTGTTGCATCTTCCCTGGTTATTATCTGTGTTAGTGCATCTGCAGGATTTTTACTGATGGGATGTACATCGCTTTTGCCCAGGCCTGTTGCTTTTTTAGAAATTCCCAAAGCTTTACAGTCTCATCATGCAGTCTTTTGACCATGCCTCTTCCCTTATTTATGTATGACACTGCTGTTGTGTTATCTACTTGTAGTACTATATTGGCCTTTTCAAAATTTATTCCCTTGGCCTGGAAGGTTTCTAACACAATTCTTGTGGTTTGGAGTTCCAAAAGGTCAATGGCTGATTCATTATTGACTTTCCAGGTGCCTTATATTTTGTGGCTTCCTAAAATTGCACCCCATCCACCTGAAGGGGATGCATCTGTCGTTATTCTGTGAGTTACTCTCTTTTCTTCATAAGATTTGTAACATGGTGGATTTAATTTTTCCCACCATTTTATCTTGTCCTCTATACTTTTTGTGAGATATATAGGTTGATCCCAATTTTGTATTGGTTGTGGAAGGTCTGCCTTCATTTGTTCAAAATACCTGAAATGGGCATGACCGTATGGTATTCCTGGTAGACAACTCAAAATAAATCCTGATATCTGTGCAAATTTCCTGAGAGGTATACTTTGATTTCTCTCAAAAATTCTTCGCAGTTTCTTGACATCTGATTTTAATTTATTGAACTTTTCTTCTGGGAGTTCAAGACACAATTTCTCACTGTCGATGATGAATCCTAGGTGTTTTTTGCACGTACTTGGTTGAAATCTTGATTTTTCTTTGTTGATGAGAAAACCTGCATTTAATAATAGCTGATGAAACTTTGCAGTATTATTATGGCATTCTCTTGCAGTTGGCGCAACTATGAGTGTATTGTCTATGTATGCATGTACTTGTATTCCTTGTTGTCTGGCCACTTTTAGGATTGCTTTCATTATTATTGTAAAAAGTCTTGGCGCTTCTCTCAGCCCCATGGGGAGTGCTTTGAAGATATAATATTTTTCCTCCCATATGAAAGCAAAATATTTCTGATGATCGGGATGTAAAGCAACATTGTGATACCCCTTCTGTAAGTCTAGAGATGTCATGAGATCTCCCTTTTTCATCCCTTGTGTGACTAGATTTAAATTTTTCATTTTGAAGTGTTTGTATGGTACACACTCTGTATTTACCGCCTTGCTGTTTAGTATGAGGCGGAAAGATCCATTGTGATTTTTAACTGGAAAGATTGGGTTGATCACTAACCCATCGTGCCATTTTATTTTTTGGATGATTTTGTATTTTTCTAGATCTTGCACGAGTCTGTTTGTTGCTTCTTTTTCCTCAGCACTTTTAATAGGAGGATTATATCTAGACAGATGTTTATCCGGTATTTTTTCAAAACCAATTTTCATGCCCAAAATCATTTGAAGGATCCACAGATCTTGCGTTATTTCTTCTCTCCAGAAATTTATGTGGTAGCGTAATTGTCCTCCAATGAAATCATTGGATATCAAACTGACCTTTAGTTTTGTCTGCCCCTCCAGGTACCTCGTCCCCTGAATGAGTTTTGCGGCGTCTCCTTGTTTTGACGCCAAAATTTGTTTGGTTGGCCCTCCCCTAAAAAACAATTCTAATATAGATTTTGGGGTTGTGGCCTTGCGTATGGTCTGGATCTGTAGCTGTTGTGACTGCCACGCATGCTTGGAGATTTTCCTCTCCAAGTTTGTTTTGAAGTGCCTGGTTTTAGCGCTTGATCCTCTTTTACCAGCTGGTCAATCTCCTTCACAAGATCCCCATCTGACAAATTGACCCAGCTTTCTCCAAAAGCCTATTGTTTTGGAAGGCTGCATGTACATTTTTGTTTGCGTTGCTGTGTACATTCTTCTTCCTTTCTTCCTGGATCATCATATATGATGCAGCCAGGGCTTTCAATGTGTTTCCCATCGTATCTCTTAACGCTTTGGGTAGATTTTCATCAATGAACTCTTTCACTATTCCACTGTTCACACACATTAGCATATTTTGGATTTTTTGCAGTGTTGCATCCACACTTCTTGAAGGTTTTGAAAGTGTGTTCCATAATGGGTGGTTGATTTTTGGCACTCTTCCCACAATGGTATTTCCCACTGGTGCCAGTATTTTATTATATTCTGCCACAATATCTTTTTTGTTGCAATTGGCCATTGCATTTTTGTAAATTTTTTTGACAACTTGTTTTGCAATTGTACCCAGTGTACAGATTGGTTCATGATCCTGTAATGCTGGTAAAAATTGGGCGAGTGTGTCGTCACCTGCATGTGCATTGACAGCAACATTCTCCTTGTCTTGAGGTAAATTGCCCAACAGCTCTTGATCCATAAGCTTCTCCAATGGTTCGCTTAGGATGTGATCCTCTACTGTATCTATATTTGCTAGGGATCTTATTAATATTTGTTTTTGATTTTGTTTTTCCTTTTTAACTTGCCTTGTTCTTGTGTTGTAACGTTGGAATTCTTGTCCTCACTGATGTGATGTACTTCTGTAAAAGTTTCACTCATTTTCTTTGATTTTTTCTGAAATCTAGAAGCATAAATTCCCTTCAGTATTTGTTTTCATCTTTTTATATTTCATGAAAGGTTGGCTTTTAAGAACACTGGTACACATTTGTACTTTGCAGTTTTTTTTGTTCTTGCCACCCTCCACAAGGGGTGAGTCCCCGCGCGAGCTGTTGCTCCCACGAGGTTCAAGTGGGTTCTGAGGCTGGGGGATCCATATGGGGGAAGTGGTTTGGTATTCACAGTGAAGGGAATTAGGTTAGGGTGTAGTAACACTGTGAATATCATGCTCCATAATGATGATCTTGTGAACATAATATTCATTCAAATGATTATAATTTTAGCACAATTCATTGAAATTTTTAGTAGAAAATAGTTAACACATTACAATAATGCATTAAAGTATATCTGTCTTTATATGTGCCTTCCTCTTGCCAATCCATTGAGAATCCATTCTGCAATGCCACTGAAAATAGCCTCAACAGTTTTTCCAAATAACATTTTGAATATGCGTTGCCAATGCGTGGTCAATGCCAATTTGAGAATGCCTGTTTTCCAACATTGGGGGAATTGCATTGCCAATGGCATCAGATTGCATTCCCCCAATATCAATAACAAAAGGGTGTTGGCTGTAATCCTCACCATTCTGACCTTGGGGCAGCAGTGGCATTGCCAATGCCAATGTCAAAATGTCAGCCAGCCCAACACCCTCATTCTTTGCTGAGGAGCTAACAGAGTTTCAGAAATTGAAGGAACTTATAGTTCCAACAGAGACGTTAACTCAGTACCATCAGGTCTGTATGGAGCTCTGTTTTGAGTTGAATGAGTAACTCAGTTCTTTCAGCTCAAGACAGGGTGAGTTCTGTTTTGAGATCACAGAATATGAAACTTAAATGGAAACATGACAATTAACAATGAATAAATTTTCAAGCAAATTCTACACTACAAGTGAAATTGTTCTGAGTAAGTGTGATACAAGTAGTGGCCTTGGTTACATGTGTTGCACAGCCAAGTGGTTAAGACTGCAGGCATTAAATCCTGTGTGGTCCTGGTTTGAACCTCAGGAGTGACTGAAAGTTTTCATGTGATGCATATTAGGCAATCTGTATGCTGGAGTATTTGTGATGTGTGTTTGTGAATGTTTACTTGAGTTTATGTGTGCAAATGGGTGTGTATGTTGTGTTTGGAGTATCTGTTCATCTGGCACTTGAATGAGAAGTGAACATTTTTGCATTTTTTTATAAAATTTTCCAGGCATGCATTTTTTTCTACTGAGAGTCAGCAGCAGGCTAGTCAACTGATGCATCAGTTCAGAGCATCAACTGAGGCACGTGTTGATCAGTCAACAGCTGCATCAGTCACCCCATGGACTAATGTATCCACTGATGCTTTTCCCTGCCCATGGAGCATGCATCTATGCACTTGTGATGCATCAAGAAAACTCATGAGAGAGCATTAGCATGATGCATGTACTTTGATGAAAGAATTGACCATTGTCAACGCATCAGCAGATACTCAAATTATCTGCTGGGCATGCATAACGTTCAAATGTTCAATACTGTACCAGTTAATTCTGACTTTGTGTACATACAGTATATTCACAAGAATCATGACCAAGCAATGTTCAATGCTGTTGATTGTCCAAATGCTCACATTGCAGAAGATTTTCTAATATGATTCAATCATCTACAAAATAAGTGGCAACCCTTACATATGGAAGCTCAAAATGATGGAAGAATACTATTTTATTTGTAAATTGCGTAATTTGGGTGCGTTTTTCTATTAATTTCAAGATTTATTATATGCATGCCTTCTAATTTTGAGAATACTGTACTAAAAATGAAACTACCCTTGAGTACTGTGATATGCACGCACCTTTTCTATATACACGGACTTTCTTGTATGCTTAATCAAGAATCAATATTCCGCGGAAAACAGGCTTATACTAATCCATACATTGCCCTGAAGTAATTTCCCAGGTTGTCTAAACAAATTTTTGGGGAGTCTCTCAAAAATTTTGAGGTTCTCGATCCATATGAGAGAAAATGCGGATAAACCTCTTCATCTCTGCTGTGCGAAGACAATTATTGTCTTATTCAGAACTTGATGTGTTTTGTTTTGGAATTTCCTTGGTGCATGGTGACGTAAAATAATGAAATTAAACGTGTGCACTTTAAAGACAAAACCTTTTCAGTGCTTTATTTCGTAAATCGACTCTTGCACCCAGACTGTATACCATCATGTTGACAATCGAGTGCAGCATAAATATAAAAAGCATGTTCCAAATGAAAATTCAAGTGCATTGTTTCACAGAGACGAAAAACTGTAGTTATCTTTGAAGATGCCGAACAGTTCACAGTATCTTGGCCGTATATGGAGTGGGGGAGAATTATTGTGCCCAGTCTCCAGCTTCATTATGTTTTTGTTTATCCTTTTCAGATATGTTAGTTTTTTTTGCTCATGGAAAATTTGAAGTTATGAATGTCTCATCATTTCGTTTGCTGCTTTTTGTCGTGCTGTACTGATTTCAGCATAATCTTCTTTGAATTCCTGAGATAGTCGGAATTGAGCTGCCTCTTTGATCATTTCATCTCTAGAATTGCTTGGAAAATCCCCAACATATCCTACAGCTTCATGTACACTTCGAGATATGAAGGAATCCCTTTCTCATTCAAGAAGATTTCTGAAAATTGAACGAAAGAACCCTATAACCTCTGGAGACAGAATTATGGTGGGAAGTGATGAAAGCGAACTGGCTTTGCCTGTAATTCACGCCATAAATTCGGCATAACCTTTTCAATCCTTCAAGTTGGTATAGATTAGATTCGGATGTGGATTTTTTACAGTTTCTCACCTCAGAATTAATTCCTTGCCATCGAAAATTATCTGGATATCAGCACAAGACATTTTATGGTAAATTTATTTGTTCAGAGAAACATTACTACTTTGATGGCAGCGTGTTAAATTCCATCCCATGACAGTGCCAGGAAAATTTTGCAGGCTTCTGCATTTTGGTTTGACCAAATGTCATTCAAACAAATATTTGGCTGAGTACCCGAAGTCCAAAAAAATCTGGGAATGTAACCCATTTTGTTTGGAATCCCTCAATGCCAATCCCATGAAAGGAATGATCAAAAAAATCCACACAGCAGCCAAGGTTGGGAAAACTTTCTCTGCCAAAAATGAAAAAAAAAAAGATTTTTTTGGACTTAATCTCTCCAGATCATCCCTATTTTTTTTTGGCCTTGTGGCACACAATATTGCAAGTAAATCCTGGCATTGCTGCTGCCCAAGGGTTAATCACTCAAGTTCAGATCAATTAACTAGTCATTACTTGCTTGAATTATTACAGTGATGTATATTCAAAACGCACACAAAATATTGTCAAGAATTACTCAATGAAATCTGAATGATGTGAAAACATTAAAAATTGAAATGCAGTGAAAGACATCCAGTGGTCACAATAATTTGTGAACAATAACTTGGTGAGCTAAGAAAATTCTCTGAAATGTCAAAAAATGTATTTGAAATCCTGTTTAATGCAAATGCTGTTGAGACCCTGCAAGATGGTACTGCAGAGGCAAAGGAAATTTCCCAGGGTGCAAGCTGGATCTCCCAGTGAGCAAGAAGTTGTCCAAATTTTCTCCTAAACCTCTCCAAAAAGTAGTCCAAAGCATTTTGCTTAAGTTGGACTGCTGCAGAATACATTATTTGGAGAGGTTTACAAGAGCTTTTGGACTAATTTTGGAGAGGTTCTGGCTCGAATTTGGACTGCAATCCCATGATTTTGGCTTCCATGAAAGATCACTCTTGGTGGGATTTCAGACTGCTTTTGGATGAAAGCAGGACTACCTTTGGAGATATTTCAGACTTCTTTTGGGATAAATGCGGACTACTCTTGGGGATATTTGAGACAACTTTTGGAAAAAATATGGACTACTCCTGGGGTGATTTGAGAATGTTTTAAGGTGAAATGTAGACTACCCTTTGCTTTTTTTGGGCAGGTTTTGGATGAAACTCAGATTTCTCTAGCAGATATTTAAATAAATTTTGGAAGACATTATCACAGTACTAACCCTTTGGTGAGCTTTTGTGTGTGTGTATGTTATATAACACACACAAATGTGTTTTGTAAATGTGCTTTGTATTGCACCAAAAAGATCCTTCAGTGATATAAAATATTAAATTTTTGACCATAATAATTTGCCGGAATCCATTGACCCATGAGGCCAAATCTAACACTGGGTTAAAATAAACTTAAAAGCAGTTAAAATCATGTTTTAATTCTCCAAAAAGATTGTGAATTACTTGACTCTTCATATGATACTGCATTAAATGTATCGCAAATCAATCAATGAATGCAGCAATAAAAAGATACTACAATCAAGGTCTGGATGCAATTTGAATTCCATCTGAGAAATTTTGATGCAATTCTGGCTACTCATGCACATATTCAAGCAGAAGCACATATTTAAGCAGAAAATGTATCCAAGGAGTGTCCTGCAGAATGGGGACTCCTCAGATACATGCAGACTTGTAGTCCACCCACATCCAATGATTTTTCTCTGTTTGGAGTTTCATTGAATGTGTGAGGACTGCATTTGAATACCTTAAGCATGTCTTGGATGAAATTTGGAGTGCTTTTGGACAGCTTTTCTGGATTGGGGTATAAAAGGACTACTTCTTGCTCACTGCGGTGTGAAAGTAGTGTGAGCATGAATGAAATCCCACTGCATGGCCAGTTTGCCACATTGAGGCAAACTGGTGGTGATGAAGGACCAGCAGCACTGGTCTCCTTCTAGCTTGGAGTGCAATGAAACACCTGAACAGTTTAGATTTAGAGAACATTTGATAAAGCCTTTCTGCATTATGTCAAGAAGTTTTCAAATCTGAAATTATAGTCAGAGACTAGGGATTTTCAGTGCTGAATTCTGATGAAGCTAAATGGTTTACTTCGACGAAGAATAATGCAGAAAAAGCATTAGGAACTTCTTGTCTATGGTTGGCCGGACACGAGGAAAACCAAATGTATATCCATTTTCTGGGGAATGAGACACAATAAGAGCTTACGTTTAGAAAATAATGGACCATCGATCTTTCTCTGGCAAGCTCCTCCAGGGCTCTCTCAGGCTGCTCACTCGATAATCCCTTGATCAGCCGTTGTTTTCGCACATCGCTTCTGGTAAACCGTGGTTCTGTTTTTATCGGCAAATTCAGTTGCATCCGATCCATCAGAAAAAAACAGATCCCGGCAAACGATCGAATCGTTCTTATTGTATAACATATTTAGCAAACGCTGCTGCATTCAGCAAATCTCAATTTTAGCAAATATGTGTGAGGATTGTTCGCGCGTGGGGGAATTCCTCTCTGCCTTATTGGGCATCTTTTTATGAATCGGTGGCTTGCATTTCATCATGAATAATTCGCCATAGTTTCTCATGTCAAAGTAGGATGATGTCTCACAGGAAATCATTTTTTCAAGTTTCCACCTCCAACTTCGATCAAAAACCTCGTGCTTTCAGTGATGTAGTATATTTGATGTACTGACGAATTTCTTTTCATCAAGTCGTTCTTACAGTTCCTCAAAGAGGTATACAGTACTTACATTCAAAAAAATATTCTCAGAATTATCAGCGTACGATCCATTGCTAATCAATAGATCCCAACCGGATTCAGTTTCAATAATTTTAATGTTACGAACCACATTTTAAAATTTTTGCATCACCATCTTCTATGAGGATCAACAATTTCCTCCGAAAAAACTTCTTCGTGGTTCTTTCACAATACGCCGTGCATTTATTTTTATAAGATTTTTAGCAACGTACATTTCGAAGTTTTAATCTGAATAAGTTCATACGGTCCAGCAGCTATTGATACTTCAAGGGAAATATTCCGTGAGCATTTGAAGTTGTGAACACTCTGTGAAGGTGAGTTATATTTAGATGCACCTGGCTGTTTTCTCCCATTTCCATTAATGTTCCACAGTTACTCATTCTTTGGGGCAATTGTTTAGGGGTTGGGGGGGGTGGATTTTCTTCAGCATAACTATTTGATGAAAGGTAGCAATGAAATCTGTTATCTTTATCTGATATTTTTGAAAAACAAAGACATATGAAATTATCTGATGAGAAATAAAAGTTTAATTTTCTCCCAATCATTCTTCAGGCACATTTTCACCTGCCAAACTGATCCTTATAATTTTTAAATATAAGAAACGTTTCTTCAAGCCCACCTTTCAATTATAAGGACATTCGTCCCCTATACAGCTGATTTCTTGGTTCATATCTCAATTTTTCCAACAACAAAAAGCAAGCAGCGAGTTTTCAATTACCTGCCATAAATTCCTTCAACAAAACTTTTTTGAAACTGCAAAAAGTTCATGGAATATTTTCAGTCAGAAGAAAATTCTTTTGAAAATTGCTGGTCCACGGACCCTAAAAGGTTGTAGAACATTGCCTAAGAGTCCTTATAGACGGTGTTGTCAAGAGTCAACAATAACGAAGTTCGCTTCGCGTTACAGTGTCAACAAAAAGTAGGCGGCCAAGTTCGGGCACAGGTCAATTCCGTCGTCACACCTTCGCTAAGAGACGAAGCAGAGAATAAGGCAAATACCGAACTCTTATCCGCGTGTCGCAGGCTGCAGAGGAAACCGATATGGATTTCTTGCGCTTCGCTGATCTTCCATCTTCTTGATAAAGGATGAGCAGATACAAAAAAGGCACGACAATGGCAAAAACATCTTCGCGCGCTACGAGGAAGGACATATGATTCGCACAGATGGTATGACCTGAATACATTGAGCCAATTGCTGGTACCTTCTTTGACTTCTCAATAAGGGAATCTGGTGTCAGAAAAAGTCACTTGGGTCAAAATGTGCCCGTTTTTACTTTCGAGTATCTTTGAAAACACCAAACATTTTGCAGAAAGATGGTAGAATGAGTAACTGGTTATATAGTTAATGTCCGTGAACCATGCGTCATCGCACCTGTGCTCTTAGAGAATTCGAGTCCAGATCTCATCTGGATTCACACAAGAATACGAGATCCAGATCTCCTCTGGAAGAAATTCTGGGATAAATCCCACAACTTAACATAGAACTGGGGTGGCACCCGATTCTCAAAGAACCACACCCATGGGACACATTTTGGTGAAGGCCAAAACTCATCTTCTTTAATTTTGGAAGAAGAAATTGCATTTCACCATTTAGTTTGAAACTTCAAAATCTGATGCAATAACTCAAATGTTATATGTTATATGTTAAATGCTTGGGGAGATTCGCCATTTATTTCCATGTCCAATTCATCAATATGGATATTGCATAGGAATACTTGCATCTTAGAATAAGCTACATAGAAAAGTTTATGAATCTTGTATGTCATGGAACAAGTAATTCAACTATGCCAAAGGAAATTCTGCTCAAATTATGTACAAGCAGTCGAATGACTCATGAATACGTAAGTACTTGCGTTTTAAGGGCATTTTGGTTTTACAATAAGGGGGCAATCCATTCAAGTACTTTCTCAAAATGAACATTTGAATGCAAGTTTTTAATCACGGAACGCCTGGAAATATATTATGCTTGATGACGCGTAGTTTGAGAACCCGAGAAAACATACAAAATTTTCACAAGAAAGAGAAAATTCTAGTTCATTCATTTAATTAGAAATGTTTTGACAGTGTGGATTATCTGTTTTATGCTTAAAATGTAGACCACTAAAAAATGTTGTTGATCACTATATGCATGGGATATTTTTTTTGTCATCTAGCACTGTTGTATCGTATTGTTTTGTTGAATTGTGCAACAAATGGCTGCTATAGTATTTTCAGAAGAATATATATTTTCTGTCATGCTAAAAAGGTTATGAGAAACGTCTCTCCGAATCACGAAATGATTTTTCATCCAGTATTTTTTTTTTTCGACAAGTAACTGGAACTCATACATTCAGATTACAACATCTTCAATCGTGCTTCGTATATGAAAGATTGAAGTACTCTACGTGTATTTCCAAATAATTTCAAGATGTTCAATAATTTCACTCAAACGTGCTGCAACAGTTGCACATTGCTAATTTTTTTTAAATAATCCTATCGTTTGTTGATTAAAGTAATGTAGTGTTGTACGAGTATAACTTATCACTGTAAAACTTATGTTTGCATGCTACGAGTTATGTTTTCATGCATCCAAACACACCGGCTAAGCTCATATCATTGGATGAAATCGGCAATTATTTCCCTCTGATCTTGTGCGTTGTCAAATATGCGTTAAAAACATCATCGTTTGTATTTGGCACGTGCTCAGCGGCGCAACATATTGAATTCGAAAGCATAAACACAGTTCAGATTATGGTCCCTTCGCGATCCCTGGGGGCATGACTTGAAGGTTTCTGCAAGCTTGAACAAACCCCCTCTCTTGCCACTCATTGATGAGCTGATCAGTCCGAACTTGAATGCAAGCTCCATATCCCCATCATCTATAAATGATTGTATTGAGTCTTGTTGACAATACGGCTGCAGAGTTTCCGGGTTGATCATCAGCCTCTCAGTGTCGTTTTGACATGGTCCTGGTGTACCTGGAAATTTGAGAAATCGAGTTTCATGATTCGTGCAAATCATTTTCAGGGAATCCCAGCTGAGAAGTCGGGTAAGCTCGTAACCATAAGGGAATCCGGAAAGAATTCGGCATGTTTGCAAAAAAATAAAATAAATAGCAATGAAAATAAACTTCCTCATTCTTTTCGCATGCGGTTTTTAATTGGAGAAGTACGAGAGAACTAAATATTGTACGTGTAAAATGTGGTAAATTTATCTTTGCATTTTGAAATTTCCTTCCGTCATTTTGAAAGCTATATGATTCAGTGCATGACATTCAAATTTTTTTCTGAAACCTCCAATAAAATCTCCATTTCGAATTTTTGGAAGTAATCACGGTTGTTTTCATACCTAATGTGTAACACTCCCCATTGGAGATGACGAATACTTGATCAGGTCCTTTGCATAATGCTGGTACACATTCTAAACCATTTGTGTTTCTGAGTTTAGCTCTGTTCCCTGAAAAGACCAGCATCTCCTTCTCTCCACAAGGACCCCTGAAATAAAATCCTTCCATCAATGTATGTACAGTATGAAAATATAGAAGGAAAGAGGTAACTCAGATAACTTCTACATATATATCCGCATCAATTGCTCTATACATCATTATAGAGTATTGCCCAGCAAAAATTTCAGATTGCCACCTGAGCTAGCGGCTATTTTTACAGGTAACATGGCTGTTTCAGATGGCTGTCAAATGGTTTTGGATGCAAGGAGGGATCTGTTTTCCTGACACGGTCAGGATGGGGTAAAAAACATTTTTAGTTGACGCTTTTGAAAGCATCAGAGTCTGACGCTTTTAAAAGCGTTTTTAACCTAGTCAAAAAGGTTTTTCCATGAAGCTTTTGAAAGCATCAGAGGCTGACGCTTTCAAAAGCGTTTCTTACCCTGTTGAAAAGGTTTTTCTTTGATGCTTTTGAAAGAGTCAACTTGTGACTCCTTTAAAAGCAGATTTTACCCTGTAAAAAACGTTTTTCTGTGATGATTTTACAAGCATTGTAATTTTATTATAGTAAGCAGACCAGCAATAACTTTTATTGTTGTTCAAATTTATTTATCCTATATTTAGATTGGTGGGCTGATTAGAGCATCATATTGAAACTCTGGAAAAATGCAGTTCTTATGCAAAAATAAATAAGGGGATGAAAGTGATGGATGCTAATAGCAGGATACCCCAATTAAATATATGAAGAATCTGTTTTTTATACCAACATTGTTCAACACTGCTTCAACAGTGTTGTAAACCTGCTTTCATAAACCACAATGTTTTAACACTGTTTCCACAGTTTTGTAACATTATTGTCATAAATGGGAGGTAAATTCTCAAAATATTGCAAGTGTGCACACTGGTGTGTGCTGTAATTAAAATCAATATGTATTATTTGCAATATGGTGCATGAATGCATCAATTGTGTATAGTCTAATGCTTTTTAAAAGACTTTACAAGTTATCTCATGAAGTGCAACATGATCATATCACAAAAGTGCTGTAACATTATGATAACAGTGTGTAACAGTGGTTCAATGTAATCCATGTGAAATGAAAAATTGTTTGCAAAGTGTTTTCAACAGTTTCTGTGTGGAATTCTGACAACATTGCAACAACTTGAAAAGAACACTGTGGTAACAGTGTTAATATTTGCAATTAATAGTGTAAGAATAAAGAAGTGTTTCATGAGAAGGACACAGACCCAATGTATTACTTACAATTTTGATCTATCCCAAAAGTAAATGTCATTCTGCTGTATTGCTCATTATTACACATTGTTATAATGTGTATTTCATTATATTGAATCTTTCCATTGCTTCCACAGTGTTGAAACATTGTTGAGGTTACAATACTGCAGCATGGATTTGGACTACCAGNCCTCTTTAGCAGTGTCCCTTTAGAATAATCAGCTTTATCCACACACGCACAAACCACAGAAGGATACAAGGTACCCAGAGGTACAAACAATCGCGCTAGGACGCAAGTATGATTTCCACAGTCAGGTAAACCCACAAGCTCTCAGACGTAGCTCTTGAGATGTAATATTGTTCTCCCGAAGCCCCAAAGGCTTTGGGAGCCGGCGTTCGCTGCCGGAAATGATTATCTTTGTTCTTGACCCGGTTTACCGCAATGCGGTAAACCGGGTGCCCTATCCGCTTCCAGGTTGGCGTGCAGGTGTTGCTGCGTGGTATACCCGAGCGAGGATGCTACGCTCGGGTTGCCGCGTGGACGCGACCCCACAAAATCCCCCCCCTTTGGTCGACGACGGCCGATAGGTTGGAGACGGCCAAAGGACCCCAAGACGGGGTCGCGTAGATGTCGCTGGTGGTCGGGGGCCTGGGGATCTGCGGGTGCGGTGGCACCGGGGGAAGCGGAGCGTCCTCGACTGGTCCGGGTCCCAGAAATGGTGGCGCGCAGGCGCCCCGGGGGGTCCTGCTAAGAAAAGGAGAGGTTTGTCATTTGAGTCGGGATCCCGCCAGGGGCGGAAGTCCGTAATTGCATCAAAAGTGCAAAAAAGTGTTGTATGTTAGTCCAGTGTCAGAAAAGTTTGTATCAGAAGGCAGAGGACCAGTGTCGGCGATTGTTGTTGTTGACGAGCGTCATTTCCCTTGTCCGGCATGGTGCGTGGCACGAATTCGGCGATCTGGTCCGGCTGCGCATGCGTTGTCGCGTTAGTGGGGGCCCCCTGCGGAAAATAGAAAAGAGAGAGACGTGCCGGCGGTCTTACCATCGTTTCGCTGGCAGAGCAGCCGTCGGGGTGCCTGTCGCGATTCGTCGGAATGCGAGGCCGGCCGTGTCGTTAAGAGCTTGGCCCCCGGTCTTGCATGCGCATCTCGAGGGCTGCAGGAGCCCAAGGGATCCAGTGTGCACCGGCGTGAGGCGTCGCGGTGATTCCATTTTTTGCATCCGCGTCAGAGGCGGTTGGTCTAGCTGTGGTTCTTTCTTTTGTGTCCTCCAGATCCAATCGACGCGCGTACCAAAATCGAAAAAGAACAAGTGCGGAAATTGAGCGCGAGCATACAAAACAAACGAGATTCATGTAGGTTCGAGAAAAGCAAAGGTGAGCGCGTGAGATTGCGCGAAGTCAAATCGGTTTCCATTCCTTCGTGCCACAACAAAAAGAAAAGAAACGACGTGGACTTTGCTGGTTGGAAGATCATGGACGGCGGACGGAAGCGCGAGCACAGCGGCGATCCACCGGCAACGCCGAAATGTCGGGCGTCGGAGGAGGACGTTTTCGAGTTAAGCATGTCCGGTAAGTGGCTCCATCGTTGTAATTGTGGCTTGTCCTTGAATTTTTGGTTTCAGTGGCGTGTTACAGAGGATGCCTATGAAACTCCGCCCGATCTGGTGATCAAGGAGGTAGTGGAGGCCGGAGCGTCGTCCGGGGCGGTGGTCGAGGTTGCCGTTGAGGCGGCCATCGAGGTCGCGGTTGAGGCTGCCGTAGCGGTGGCCATCGAGGCAGTGGAGGACGCGCCCGAGGCGGGGGCATTGGCGGCGCCGGCTGTGCGGCTGCCCAAGGTTGTGGAGGCAAATGCCTCTGTGCTGGCTGGGCTGACAAAGGACAGCTGGCAGCACCTTGTGGCGCTAATGCCCATGGCGGCGTCCATCGAGACTGCGACGGCACACTGGCTGCGCCTGGAAGACCAATTGCGCCGAGAGACTGCGGCCGCCGAGGCGGCGCACCAGCAGCTGAGCTCGGTCCAGGCGTTGGTACAGGGGATGACGATGGCTGTGGAAGTGGCGGAGTCGTTCCGCTGGCGGCTCCGCTCGGCGGAGGCGGAAAACGCTGCGCGAGAACAGGACTTCTCGCGGCGTGTTGCGGCGCAATTCCGTGTTGTGACGCGCGTGGCTCTGCGCAGTCTGGGGCAGGCGTTTCCTGCCGGCGGGCAGGTGTTCCTGCAGGACGAGGACGTCGTGGTGCAACGGGAAGGTGAGTGCCCCGCCTGCTTAAGCAGCAGTATGCTGCAACTAATGCAGTGGCTGTTGGACACAGGAGCACTGTGGATGGCGCAGATGGCCACGACACCAAGTGTCGAATTTGTATGGGGGCCAGCGATGGACGTGGTGCCGGCGTGGTATGCCGGAATGCGTTCAGAAGATGCCCCGCGGGTTGCTGCGATCGAGACGGCCGCTGCCGCGGTTGTTGTAGCTCCGCCTGCAGCGGAGGCGCCTGCAGCGCCATCTCGGCGCCTGTCAACGCCGAGCCAAGAATCCTTGGCGATGGTCAAGGACGAGGCGGCTCCGCCGTCGGGAGCGCCGGTGCCTGAGGCGGCAATGTGCGGCGATGATCTGGACGTTGAGATGTTGGACGCCCCTCCAAGTAAGTGTGTACAGAAATGGTCGGCGAGAGCCGATGTAACACCTGGTATGTTTATTGGGCTGCGCAGTTGCAGATGTGCCGGAGGCATAGCACTTTGAAGTGCTGATGGAGACCTGGCGTTTCGAGCCAGAGGAGCCGATGGTGTACGTGCAAAACGTACGTGAGCAACGGGGTGCTGTCGGCGATCGGTCCCGCTTCATGCGGAGCTTCCAGCTGCCGACGCCTGGCTGCACGGTCGCCGACTATCGGTTCCGATGCGTCCAATACTCGAGAATCCCACCAGTGCCGCGGGGCTTCAGCAATGGCCAAAAGTGCGTGCTGGTCATTGGGGATTCATTGTTGTTGATGTCACGGATCACCCGGGAGCCCTACTGTTTCTTTGGTCGGATCAGCTCGCGTTTGAATACGCCGCAGCCGGTCTTTGACTACTCGTACTTGACAGAAGATCTGTCGTTCGAGGTGTTTCAGGTGAGTACGGGGATGGGCATGGGACGTGACAAGGCTGTTCTAAACAGCAGTTTGCATTTTTTGCAGTGGAGCTTGAGCGGCTTGGCCGCTTTATGTGGCCGGAACGCCATTACGCCGGCGAACCTGCGCCAGCGGGTGTGGGCGGATCTGAGCTTGCCCGTTGACATGGAGTTTGTCGCGGTGCTGGTCCGCATCGGGACGAACGACATCAAGTTCCTTGTGTCGCGGACGGGACCTTGCCCGTTCTCGTCTTTCTCGACGTTCTTTGCGCAGTTGCGGATGTACCACGCAGACCTGACAAATGCCTTCGGCTGCCTGGCGTTTGCTCTGGGCGCATCGCCGCCGTCGGACAAGACGGATGAGGATGCGCATGCCATTGTGCATGGACAAGATGGATACCCGGTGTTGCCGGTGCGGGCCCGGCGAGGTCCTACGACAGTTGCGCACCGCATGCACGCGGGTGGACTGATGCTGGCCTCGCTGCTGCGGGGATGGCAACGACGATATGGCCCGTTCAGGGCGTATGGACCTGAGGGTACCCGGCGAGGGTACTATGCAGCCCCAACACCCGGAGGTATGATGACGTTGCTGCTTGCCCGGTGCGCTGACTTTCAGCGCAACTTTGGCCACCTGACACCGGCGGCGGCAGGTTTCATGGCGCGGGACTTGACGATCTCATGCATTTGGGCGGTGGCCCGTGTCACGGGGGAGGCACCGGCCCCGTAGGGGTTGTGCCTGGGGCGTGCCCCGGAGTGGAGGAGAGGCGGGACAGCCACGGATGGTCTTTCGCCGCTGAGTCCGCATGATCATTGCGGGGAGAATGGATTGCGGCCATGTGTGCCGCAGGCGTTGCCGTTGCTGGATGGTGTGGGCGCTGCTGGCGACCCGTTTTCGCAGTGAGTAGAGCCGGGATGACGGGGAAGATTCTTTGTTGTAACGCTCGATGCGCTTTTTACAGATTTGACCCGACTGGCTTTTTGACGGGTGCGTATGGCCATACGTACAGCCACGTGGGCCTGCAAGGTACGCAGATGACTGCCCAGCTGCAGCGCGCCGGGCTCCTACAAGTTGGAGCCATCATCATGCATGCCGGCCATTGGATGGTGGTCGTGGAGACGACGGCCCATGGCGCGTGGGTCGTTGGGGTGTTAGGCCGTGTTTTCGTGCCTTATGCGTTGAATTGTGCGCGTTTTACGTGGCGTCGCGATGCTGACAACGACGGTTGACAGGTTCGTGTCATTGAGTTGTTTTGTTTTTGTTTGAAACGGTAAAAACCGTATTGTACAAACTTGTGGGCCGCCCTCATGCTTTGAGGGATGGGCCTTTGTGATGATGTTTCAATTGGTCCTGTTGATCGCTTCCCGCCGGTATTGTTCAGATTCCCAATCCCCATGACCGCGATCCCTTGTCGAACTGCGCTGTGTTCTGGAAATGTGAACCGTTGGTGACTTTTGTTTATGGTTGAGTGCTTGATGCACTATCGGTATTGTTTGTCGGAAGGCATTGTTCCTGGGAGTTTGTTTTGCGCAAACGCGCGTGGTGCCCGAGTAGATGGGTGGGTTGGTCTGGTTGATCTCGGTGCAGCCACTCTTTTTGTTGTTGCGAGAAACTGATTTGGTGATGAATTGCGAATGCGGGTCTGTATTTTGGCTGGTGATAAACTTTGTTACTCCGCATTTGCTGGTGTTCGCTCATTCATTCTTCATCCAGGTACAGGTTCCAAAGCGCGTACAGGAGGTCGTCGTTGTCCTGCTGGACACTGTGCACTTGCACATCCATTGATTCGGGGACGGGCCATTAGGGGGGTGGTTGACTGGGCGGAAGGAATTGCGGCAGGGTGCCGCGGGCCGGAGAGGGTTCCGGCTTGGGTAGATCTGGCTGTCGTTCCACTTTGAGTGGGATGAGGTTCGCTATGGACTGGTTGCGCAGGATGTGTGGTGTGGAGGTGCCGTCGGCTTGGTACCAACGGGAGACCAGAACATCTACTGCGCGAATTTTTCCATCCCGCGGACTTGCGCGGACCGAGACAATCCTGCAGAGTTTCCACTTCAGGCGTGACATGGGAGTGTCACCCTTGAAGGAGGCAACTTTGAGCAGGGCTACCTGGCCCTCTTGGGGCTCAAGGTGCGTGGGCCCGCAGCCCATGTGGGTGGGAAAGGCACTGAGTTGGGTCACGTACCCAACGTAGAAGGCGTGCCAGAGGTCTTTTAAGTAGTCCATGTGCCACTTCGTGCGCCATTGGAGACCCTTTTCGTCTGCGTACTCGAAAAACTGAACGGGTGGGGGACCGTAGCAGTACGGATCCCAAGCCGCGTCAGTGTAGTCTTCTCCCCCCGGGTTCAGGAACATTGAGGGGGTGATGCAGATCGGATCGTTCCGATCGGTGGGTAAATATGTTAGTGGGCGGGAATTAATCATCCGCTCGACATATTTGATTGCCTCCATGATAGTGGAGGGGTATTTGAAGCAAACGCCTTTGAAGGAGCGCGCTAGGCGCCCTTTGATCATCCCCATCATACGTTCGTAAAACCCGCCCCACCAGGGAGCACGGGCCGCGTTAAAATGCCACTGAATGTGGTTGCGGGCAAAGTGCTGTTTGAACTCCATCTCCTTGGCGCGGAGAAACCGTGGCCAGGCGGCCCGGAAGGCGGAGCCGTTATCAGAGATGATGGTGGTGGGGCTGAGGTCGCGGGAATGACAGAATGTGTTAAACGCTGTCACAAAAGATTCCAGGGAAACATCCCTGACGGGTTTGAGGTGGATTGCCCGCATAAGCGGGCAGGAAAAAACACAGATAGACATGGTTTTTCCGTCCAGGGTCTCAAAGGGCCCTGCAAAATCAACCCCTACAGTCTCAAATGGCTTCATGCCGGAGTAGCGGTAGTGCGGGAGGGGCACCAATGGTTGCACAAACGGGAGGTTATCAAACCATTGGCACCATGGGCACTCCCGAATGATGTTGCGGACTGGTCTTTGCCCCCCCTTCATCCAGTATCGATGCGTCAGTTTTTCTAGGATGGCGGTTGTTGACGCATGCCGCCTATCTTGTGAAAGGACTGTATGAACGCTCGGAGGAGGGGGGGTATGTTGCCCGTCCGAGGGACGGGGATGTGGATGAGTTCCTTCCTTAGCTTCAAGCCCGCGCCGCCGCCGAGGCAGGGACACATCAGTGTCCTGCAGGCTGCGGGACATGACCAGGCGAGTCGTCGGGTCCCAGCGGAGATCCGGACAACGCTTGTTCTTTTGGTTGTTGGTCACGTCAGTCCAGGCTGTGTGATCGTGGAACTTCTGTAGGATGCAAATAGCATCGTTGGTTGCTGTGCGCCGCTCTTTTGCGGACCAGCTAAGCCGATAGGGATTGACGTGGGCGCCGCTGCGTAGTTCGGCAAGCGGTTTGGGATCTTTTCGATGGTGGCGCGTAAAATACTCCTTGAACCGGGAGAGTGCCATGATTCTTTTCTCCACTTTGTCCCAGGTCCCGGCCTTTTCGAAAAGGGACAGAATGGTCTGTCATTCGGCTTGGTACGTCCGTACGGGGTCTTCCCGTGCTTGGGCAAAGTTTGCTTGGACATTGAGGGGCGCAGCTGGCCACTGCGCCCGGTAGGGTAGCCACTTTGGGCCATGCCACCAGAGGGTGGCCTGTTTCAGCGTTGATATGTCGCACCCTCTTGATGCTAGATTGGCCGGATTGTCCGTGCAGGGCATGTGCCGCCATTGGTGGACGGCGGTGCTGGCGGCAATCTTTTGCGCTCGTGTTTGCACGTAGCGATTGGTTTGCGCCGCCGCGTTCTGGATCCACGCGAGGGTGACGGCAGAGTCGGTCCAGTAATGGACGGTGTGCCGGCGCAAGTCTACTTTGATAGAGAGCGCCTGCATCATCTGGGCCGCAATGGCGGCTTCCCAAAGAAGACGTGTCTGCGGCCGGTCCCCCCTGGATGTGAAGTAGATGGCTACTCCGAGGGCGATGCTGCTTGCATCGGAAAAAACATGGATGTCGCCAGGCTCCTTGACGCGTTTTGCGACTTTACGAGGCACTTTGATGGATTTGACCAGGAGCGCTTGGCGAATAATGTCCTGCCAGACTTTGGTCTCCATTTTTGAGAGGAGGAAGTCCCAAGGTGCCTTGGGGTGTTGTTTGTTGAAGCGCTGCCGAAGGGCTTTGATGGTGGTAATGAAGGGGGTAATCAACCCAGGGAGGTCGAAGAGTCGCCCCTCTACCCCAACAATTTGCCGCTTCTGTAGGCGCGGGCATTTGAGGAGCGCGGCAAGCGATTCTGTGCACACGCTGAGCTTGTCTGCTTGCGGCGTGTAGACAGCCCCCAGGACCTTGTATGGTTTCGGATCGACTGGGGTGTTGGTGGTCGGATAAGACCGTTCGACTTTGGTGAGGTCGAAGCTGCCAACCTTAAGGGCAGCCGTACTTCCAGGCCTGCAGTACTTCCAGGTAATTACCCTGTTCTAGATGTGCGCGCAGGACCGGGCCCACACGGAGGTGCACAAAATTCATGTCTGTCTGAATCGTGCTCAATTTCTCAGTTATTTGGACGACTCTGTTAAAGTAGTCGTAGAACTCCGGGAGGGTGTTCGGTGCCAGAAGGCGATCGAATTCGCGGTAGAGCTTAAGGCGTACCGCGTCTGTTTGCCAGTACTTGGAGAAGAGTACCTGGAGAACGCTAAGGTAATCCATGTTAACGTCTTGGTACGCGAATGCACCGACGTTTTCTTTTGCGTCACCATCAAGGTGAAGGAGCAACACTCAGATTCTTTCGATGTCCGTGAGTTGCGCAGCTGGGATGATATGGACTGGCAGGAAATTGCGCCAAAGGCGCTCAAACGGATAATTTGAGTCCGCTTGGCCAGTAAATTTGTTGAAGGAGGCGTCGCGAGCCTGCTTCTTGTACGATTTAACGAGATTATGGTGGGAGAGGCTGGTGGGTTGCCCTGTCCCGTACGTGGCAAGGGCGTGGTGATACGCCTTGTAAGGTTGTCCCTGCGGTCGCAGGATGGAGGACGGCCCGGACTCCGAATTGCTGTAGCTGGCCGGAGCCGGTGGGTGCAGGAGTGCGGGCGCCATGGGGCGCAGAGGGACAAGTTGTCCCATCGCTGGATGCGAAGCTGCCGATCCTGTGCCGTGCGATGTGCTGGGCATGTGCGGTGGTAACACAGGAACCGGCGCCCCGCTGGTGGAGGGCTGAGGCGCGGCGTGCGCTACCGATGGCGTTGGAGGCACGGGTGCTTGCGGCGCTGCGGGAAAAGCAACCCCTAAAACGCGCGGCTGTGTTGGGCGGAGGTGCGGCCACCCTCCGGTCATGACATCCATGGATTGCACCAAAAGGGTGTTTACCTCGGTTGCCAATCGCGTGAGGGCGGCGATTTCGGGCTGCAAGAATGCAGCAGGAGATAAATCTATGAGATGCGCGGCGGCATCAAAAAATCGTGGTACAACACTCTCAAAGAGTTGTTGCGGATCGCCGAGTTCGGGCGTTCGCAAGATATGGTCCACCGCGCCTACCGCGTTGGCAAGATGGAGGACCTGCTTAATAATCGAGGGGCGGCGTGCTGTAGACGCCGAAGAGCGTCCACTAGAGGCCGCGATTGAGGCGGCGCCGCGAGACGCCGGCCGCTGAGATCGCCGTTCGACGCCGGAAAGAGGCGCCTGTTGCGTGCAATGTGAGGAGCGCGACCGCGCGCTATTATGGCTACCATCGCTGGACGGGCTCGGGGATAGGCAATGCCGTGGCCTCGCCGGTAGAGGTCCCCGCCGTCGCGGAGGCTGGTGCGTACCGCGGGTACTGCTCGAGATGGGCGGCGTGCTGGGGACTGCGACTTCCTCACCGTTCATTGTGCCAAAAAAATTTCACACGAAAAGAACTGGTGAGTACTTACAGGTTTTTTCCAGAGGGTGAGGTGGGCTGGGTGTAAACGTATGGGCAGCAAGGCTGCAAGTTCACACTTATAAATTTTGCACTTCGATAAAGAAGGGAACTATTGCCCAAGATTAGCGGAAAAAACCGGGGTTTGACCTCGTAGAGGCAAACCCACTGGCCACCACTTTTGTCAGGCCGATTGATGACAAATAAATTGAAAGAAAGGAATAGACGCAGTCACTCAGCCTTTAACGGCCGGATCCTCTTTAGCAGAGTCCCTTTAGAATAATCAGCTTTATCCACACACGCACAAACCACAGAAGGATACAAGGTACCCAGAGGTACAAACAATTGCGCTAGGACGCAAGTATGATTTCCACAGTCAGGTAAACCCACAAGCTCTCAGACGTAGCTCTTGAGATGTAATATTCTTCTCCCAAAGCCCCGAAGGCTTCGGGAGCCGGCGTTCGCTGCCGGAAATGATTATCTTTGTTCTTGACCCGGTTTACTGCAATGCGGTAAACCGGGTGCCCTATCCGCTTCCGGGTTGGCGTGCAGGTGTTGCTGCACGGTATACCCGAGCAAGGATGCTACGCTTGGGTTGCCGCGTGGACGCGACCCCACAGGGGGCGCCCAAACTGCCAGGATAACCATCAGGGGAGGCAGCAATCCTATCCCCGTCTCTCCAGGCGGGTATAATGCCTGCTTTTTATGGTCTCAGTGGCCACCTGGATAGATGTCCACTCTGGACGTCTATAAGGCCATCTTTAGTGAGTAAATGCAAGCAGATAACGGCCAAATTATTTGCTGGGTGGAGCAATACATAGAAAAAAGTGTATGAAATGTTTTCAATCCTACGGAAAGGAATAATTCCAGCCAACCAATTAAAAAATGTAATTGAATTAGGTATGTACAGTACAGGTGATGGTGCCCTCCAATTTTACCCAAATGTGTTGCAAAGCAGTAAGAATAAAATTGTGAAGTGTTCAAAAGAAAAATTGAAGGTTATCTACAACAAATTTGCATTTTCAGTCTCTCAGCCGGTTAAATTGGGTGGAAAATGGTTGAATTGCAAGTCAATCTACCAGCAAATTTGACCATAAAATTGCTGGATGGTTGCATTGCAGGACATTGACTTGCAAGGCGCCACATGTATTGTGTATGAATATATTTACAGCTTTCCTCCTCATATTAAAATTGTGGTTGTAAGCCAAAATAAAAATAAGACCATTGACAGTTTTGCTGATACAGCCAGATTCACCATTGAAGTTTAAGTTATAGAGTTTATTAGAATATTAGAATTTGGAAATAACAAAAATAAAGGCGAACCGATACAATTTGAAAATAACCGTGTGATGAAACAAATAATAGAGAGACACAACACTGTGTATTTGATTGACTCTTTCGCAGTCTGATGGCTGTTCGAAGTACTTTCCTCATATGAATAATCATTAACATGTTTTTGTTTGAAGGAAGTGATTTCATGCAATTTTTGTATTCTGCGTATATGTACAGGTAGACTCTCTCGAAAAAATCTTATCTACCTCATTTATTGACGTACCCCGTGCCCTTGACTTATTGAGTAAGATATGTGCCATACTGTTCTTCAGTGAAAAAATTAAAAAAATGATATCCCTTCCTGAGATGCACACCCCATTTCCAGTGACTCGAATAAAGCGCAAGTTTTGAAATGCAATACCACCCAAATTTTGATTTAGATTGGATTTGATCCAGAATTCAACTGATTTTCCATCATTTCCAAAACAGCGGGTGTTTCTTTTCAAATTGGTCTAAAATTTGAAACAAATTCAATGAAAATGTGCACTTCTATATAGCTTAAAAAGTTGTATGTCCATCCATGATGTGCAGCCCCTTTTTTACCTTTCAATTTTGAGAAAAAAGGGTGAACATATGGTACTTGAGTGAGAATGGTATAATGATCTTCTGTACAGAAACACTTTTTGGTCCCATGCGTGGGGCTCTTTACCCATTTTATAGAGGATCTTTACAACCAGTGTTGCCCAACTTGTGGTCTGTGGGCTGGTCCCCAGAAGTTTTTGTTGGTCCGAAGGAGATTTTCAGCATAATAAATGTATCAGAAGTTGTAATGAAGTCTCTCATTGTCATCTGATAGCTTGGAAAGAGGATGGCAGTTGAAAGTATCTGATAAAAATATAAGTTGGCTTTTCCCATGATAGCACTAAAAAATAATTTTCACTTGCTAACATAAATTATTTCCAGTTTTACTTCTCGGAAACCTTTTGTCAAGCTCAAAAGCTTCATAATTGTTTGAAGACTCTTCACTTTAAAGCTGCTTCCATGGTCTTTGACTTGATTTTTGAAATCACATTTTATTTGGAGGACTGTATGCGAGGTATTAAAAAAAATTTTCCCAGTCTGCAACAATTTCAGGGAACGCTACTGGTTCATAGAAAAGGTTTTAGAAATACTTTAGTCTGCAGAAAATTTTATGAAAATTTGCCAGTCTGTTGGTCCAAAATGGTTGGGGAACACTGGTCTAAAACAACATTTCCTCTTCAACACATTTGTTCTGGTCCTAACCATTTGATTGTAGAGACAGTCCATCTGTGCAGTATTGTATGTAGAACAATAGCCAGACTTTTCAATCCTGGTTTTTGCAGCCATTAAAAAGTTGCACTTCAAATTCGAGATTCGACATTTTCAAAAATATCAGTGTAAAAGAAAAAAAAACCTCTCGGAGTGCATCGAATTCAATACTATATATGCTAAAAAGCTTCATTTATTTCTGTCATGGCACAAAACTGAATGAAGCCACTAACCTTGCCAGCACTTGGTAGCAGTTTCCATCCAGTGGCCAAAAAACGTGGCCCGATCCGCACTCACACTCAACAGTACCATGAGTCGTGAGTGCCAGCTTGACGGACGTAGAATTTCTCTCCGATTTGCACGAAGAAAGGAAACGGGTTTCATTCTCGCAGGCGCCGGATGTGGTCAGGAATTCGTTGGTCAAACTGCAAGGAACTTCCCGACAAACAACCCGTTTCGAGATTGGGTCCAACACCTGGATGAAAAAGGAAAATAATGAAGTTCCCAGTCTGAAAGACATTGACTGATGCGAAAAAAGATTGAAGAAGTTTTCGTGTCAATTCTAAACGTGAAAATAGATTATGACCCTGAACTCAAAATGCAGTTGATGCTACAGTATACAATTTTTTTTGCGTAATATATACACATTCTAGGTAACATTAAATTTCTCAAAAAATGGATCAAAAGTGTCGAGAGATTTTTTTTGTTTGAATCATTTTCGCGTCTGAATTGAAGTCGATATGATGCGTTCCATGATATTCATTCTTGAATTCTTGTTCAATCAATGTATATACATCCGTACAATTGCAAAATAAGGGCTATAGTAGTAATCAAAGAGGCAACAATCTTTCGAATTCAAAACAATTTCATGAATATATCTTACTTGCGAATTTCATGGAAGTATTTTTAGAATGGACGTTTAAAAAACAAATATGTAATCACCCTCATCGTTGTATCTGTCATTGCTGGTTGACAATGAACACTGACCAAGATGTTACGCTATCATCAGAAGCTGTAGAACTGATGAAACTCTATAATTCAAACCTCAAGTCAAAAATTTCTGTGTACAATTTTCCTTAAATCCCTTGGATCAGTGCATTTCAAACCTCCCTAACTAAAAATTTCTGATTTAAAGTTGCTTTTAGCTTTTCTGTGACCTTTGAATTCCTGAAATTAGGCTATATTTTCAACACTTGGTACAGAAAGCCCAAAAAAGCAGACACAAAATACAGTATTATTTTAACCCCTTTTCACAAACGATTTCAGTGAGGTACGTTTGGGCGTTAAAAACACGATTTTTTCCAGAAAGTGTTTTTTCACCACTAAGCTGGCATGTTTTTAAGATATATTTCAACATTTACAACCTTTTATCTAAAGAAAATTCCAGGTTTTTGCCTCCAAAAACGTTTCTAAGCTGGACCCCTCTTTCTGAACTAGTGTGCATAGATTTTACAAAGAGCTGGTTTTTCTCAGCTGGAAATAATGTTAGCGAGGAGGATCTTCTTTTTAAACCCCAAACACTACTGTATAGACAATTTTAACCATTGATACTACTTCTCAGATTAACATAAATAGTTAGCTCTCCGGGATGAGAACCATTTTCAAAGAATATCTAATACAAATTGGGCCTTATTTCCTGATAGAAGAAATTTCTCAGTCAATTTCAGTTTGATTTCCTTGCAATTCAACCGAGAACAGATATATCGAAAATATTTCTTTTTCAACGCAAAGTATGAGTATATTTTTGACTTAGAATAAATTACCTACCTTCCAATGGCCATGTGTGGAACACGAAGTATACAGTGTCTCTCTCAGCTCTGAGGAATTTGGCTCATCCTTCACGCATTGCTTGTAGTAAGATCGCACTGAGGCTGGCTGACACATAACCTCTTTATTTTGAAAGATTGCAGAATTCGGAAGTCCCAAACCATCTTCATTGGATTGGACGCAAGTTGGCTTATGTGTTTCTGGATGCAAGTCAAAGATATGCCCTCGCTTGCATGGCTCTTGCTTTCCTGTGAAAAAAAATCCATGATATGATTACATTTATTTGAATGCAAGTTGTTTTTGGCATGTTGAAACATCAACAAGGCAAAAATTTTAAGGTCCTAATAAGCAGGCTAAAAAAGTTCTCCATTAAACAGATTGGAGAATTTTCTTGCATAGAAACATTTTGCAACTTTTTTCACTGTACCCAACAAATAATTTGGCTGTTGCAACCTGTGTTGCAAAGCCATTGGGAAGTCATTGGGACAAAAATGTTGGGCTAACAGCTATTTGGTCACTGCCTAATGTCTGAGAGCAGGCATTCCCCCAAATGTTGGCCAATGGGTGCTGGCTTTCATTGGGGATGTTCCCCTAAACATTTGCCAATGCATGCTGGCTTGCATTGGGAACCCATTCTGACATACATTGGCCAACATTTGAGGAACATCCTCAATAAAAGCATCCCCCCAAGTCTGAAAAGCAGTAAAAGAAAAGAAAAATTAATTCCCATTCGACTGCTGCTTTTTACTTATTCAATTTACCTTCTTTGTGTTATACTCTTTCCTCTTCCTTATTTACTTCATCTATGTGTGCTTTCTGTTCACAATACAGTCAACCCTTGCACAACCTTCTGTTTGGTTAATGTTTTTTCACTCAATGTTCCCAGTTGTAAGCCTAAAAATCTGTTTGCTTAACATTCAGAATTGCGCACAACGTCCAGTTTAAAGATTTGTCAAAAATCTAATTCTCAATCAAACTTCAATTTTCAAACGTGATAAGCTTTGCAATAAAGTTCCCAATACTTTTTTTACTTCAAAAAATTATTAGAATTGATTGATTTATCATGAAAAATGCAAAATGTTTCTGAAAGTTGAGCCAAAATTGGGATAAAATCTGTTTATATTTTTATTTTCAAATGATTCATTATTCAACATTTTTCCCAAGTTAAATATTGCTAAATATGTAAAACTTCAATGCCCATCTAGCCTTGTTGAAAATTTTGAAATGAACTTGATTTTGGAGAAATTATAGTGAATTAAAATTGAATTGGTTATTTTTGGTCCTGCTTTTCAAAGTTTAAAAATTCATAAAAACAGTTCTATGAATCTATGGCACCAAACGTCAAATTTGAAACAGTGTTAGATGCGCATCAAAGTTTTTCAGATTTCTGTTTATTAAATCACAAAAAAATTCAGAATTGACAGAGATATAATCAAAAGCTCAACACATTTTTGAAAATCAAGCCACACTGTTTCATTTTGAAATTTCATGAGAAATTTTGTTATGGGCCTAATTTAAAAAATGTTGCACCTTGAATGTGCCCAAAAGTTCTGTAAATTTTCCTACTTTTTTTATTAAACAATATTGAAAAGATATTGCCCAACATCAACTAAACTTTTCTCCCTTATATCTTAAGGGAGAGACTACCTTCCTTAACGTTTTTTTTTCAACTAACCTTTTTTTCTGCTGCACCAACTAAAAATGTTAAGTGAGGGTTGACTGTATTCTTTTCTGCTGCTGCTCCTTTGCTTTGAATCTGCTGTCCTGATGATGCTCCTGGGTTTATATAGAACTGGGGCCATCTGAGTGAGAGTCAGTCACCTTCTAACTATACACTCACAAGCTAGGTGCAAATACTCATGCTACTTATACTATTATGTTGTATTTTCAGATTAATTTAGAAAATTGGAATCCAGAGTACTTTTGAGGTCTAAAAACAGTTCAGGAAATCATTTTTGTATAAAACATTGCAGCAACATTTCCATCATTCAAAAACCTGACCTTTCTCTACTTTGATGCTGAAATAATTCTTAAAACATTTTCTCTGAAAAACCATTCTATTGATTAATGAACATTTTCAGCAATGTTCAATATTAATCTACTGTAAAAAATGCAGAAATAAATACATTCTTGGATCTGGATCAGTCAGCTCCAAAGAATTACAAAAAACTGTAAAAAAAATCAATCTAAAAAACATTTCCCAAACTTTGCAGGTCCGTAAAAAGTTCCCTAATTAAGATAGAAGGGCATTTTTAAAAGGAAGTTTTCCTAAATCCAGGCATTTTGCGCTCTTTTCTTATAATGAATGATGTGGGAATAATGTTCAAGTGAACATCATTCCCACATCCTTTTAATGAACTACATGGGAACAACCCAGTGAGTACAAATTTCTCCAAACTACTGTATGTTCAAAACTCATCCAAATGAGTTCCAAAGACATTTTTGGAACTCTTTTGGATAAGTTTTGGAGAACTTGTTCAAAAAAATTGTGTTCTTGCAGACAAGTTTGGAGAACTTGTCCACAAGATCAAAAATGTTTTTCTCTGCCAGACAAGTTTGGAGGACTTGTCCACCAGACTAAAATTCTCTGGCATAAAAGTTCTGCAAATGCGTCCAAATATTGTCCAAAATTTGCAGACAAGTTTTGAAAACTTGTCTGCAGTTTCTGGCGCCAGTGCCTGGCAGACAAGTTCTCCAAAACTTGTCCTCATATCATCCAAACTTGTCTGCACATTTTGGATGATATGCAGACAAGTTTATGTTGGTATCAAAATAGATTAAAGAAAACTAGTCATTGCAGGAACTGGGCAATAGCTGTCTGACTAAGGGGTTGGACTTCTGAGCAAGATTTCCTGGGTTCAATTACCATTCTGGAGAGGAATTGTTTACTGTAGGGAGTGCACCTCTAATTATTACTGTACCTGAGAATAAGTAGGATATATAATTACAGTGGTACCTCACACTACAAACTCCCCATAGAGCAAACGTTCCGCTTAACAAACGTTTTTTCCCTCCAAAATCCACCTTGTAGAACAAACAAAATTTGTACTATGAACAAGGGTAAATGTTCACCCTTATTCATAGTACAAATTTTGTACTAAAAACAATTTTTTTTTTGTAGTACAAAAACATTTCTGTGTTCTGAGACAATTGTCCCAGAACACAGAAATTTTTACATGTGTCAATGGTCATTTGACCATCATTACATGTGAAACGTCACATGTGTGTTTATGTGACAATGGTCATGACCGTCGTCACAAGCAAACATTTCTGTGTTCTGAGGCAATCCTCTCAGAACACAGAAATTTCGAGTGCAAACAAAATTTCTGTGTTCTGAGACGATTGTCTCAGAACACAGAAATTTCCACATGTGACCACTGTCATTTGACCGTTGTCACATGTGGACACAGATAAATTTTTGTGGCACTTGTCACATGTGACGATGGTCATTTGACCATCCTCACAGAAAAAAATTTCTTTGTTCTGAGACAATCATCTCAGAACACAGAAATTTTGTTTGCACTCGGAATTTCTGTGTTCTGAGATGATTGTCTCAGAACACAGAATTTTTTTTCTGTGACGATGGTCAAATGACCAGTGTCACATGGTCACATAAAATTTGTAGTGACGACGGTCAAATGACCGTTGTCAAATGTGACAAGTGCCACAAAAATTTCTCTGTGTCCACATGCGACAACGGTCATTTGACCGTCGTCACAGAAAAAAAATTCAGTGTTCTGAGACAATCATCTCAGAACACAGAAAGTTCGAGGGCAAACCAAATTTCTTTGTTCTGAGATGATTGTCTCAGAACACAGAATTTTTTTTCTGTGACAATGGTCAAATGACCGTCGTGACATGTGACAAGTGCCAAAAAATTTATCTGTGTCCACATGTGACGACGGTCAAATGACCGTCATCACATGTGGAAATTTCTGTGTTCTGAGACAATCGTTTCAGAACACGGACATTTTTTTTGCACTAGAAATTTCTGTGTTCTGAGACAATTGTCTCAGATCAAAGAAATTTTCAGATTTGACAATGGTCAAATGACCATCCTTGCATGTGACAAATGCCAACATAAATTTTTTGTGGCATTTGTCACTTGTGACCATGATCAATCCAAGAAAAAAAATTTTTTTACCCCTGGAACCAATTAAACGATTTCCCATACAAGTGTAAGGGAAATTGTGACTCACATTACAAATGTATCACACTACAAACGTAGCTCTGGAACAAATTAAGTTAGTAGTGTGAGGTACCACTGTAATTAGTGATAGGTACCGTAGGAATAGGTAGGATGAATTAAGATATTTAATCATGTTCTTCAAAAGATATAATTAGTAAGCTCTGGAAATGATTGAAGGGGATTGAGGAGCAAAGGAAGAACAAAAAGGCTGCAAAGAGGAATAAGGACCCCCTGGGAGCAGAAAAATTTTGCAAAATGCAGCTGTTAAAAAAGAATCAAATACACATTTTGGAGGGAACTGGGAAAAATTTGGATAAAAATTGGACAACATGTCGGATTTTTATCCAAACTATTCCCAGATACCTGCAAAACATGTCTGTTTTGTATCCAAAAGCCATTGAAAAGCAATTGACTGCTTTTGGATGACTTTTGGATAAAAATTGGACAAGATGTCTGCTTTTTGTCCCAAGCTTATCCAAAGAAACTTGTCCAAAACTTGTCCATTTTTGGCACAATTCTCAGATAAGTTGCTTTGGATAAGTTTTGGATCCAAAATGGACATTATTGTGCTCACTGGGAATGTTCACTTGAACATTGTTCCCCCATTGTGTGGAACAAACAATGTGGAACAATGTTCAAGTTGAACATTGTTCCACATCATTCATTATTATGAGATGATGTGGAACTATGTGGAACAATGTTCAAGTGGAACATTGTTCCCACATAGTTCATTACAAAAGATGTGGGAATGATGTTAACTTGAACATTGTTTTCACATTTTACAGTATAAGAAAAGAGCAGGAAAGGCCTTGTTTTAAGGGACATTTCCTTTTTAAGCATCCTTCTATCTTCATTAGGGAACTTTTTATACAGTTCTTCAAGGTTTGAAGATCATTTTAGATATTGCTTTTGTGTTTAGCAAATGTACACATGTACTCAACAATGAATCAGCAATGTTAAAGTGAACATTGCACGTACATTGCCTCATGTAAGACTTAAATTTCAAAGACATTTCAATTTAAATTGGCAAAATTGCTATTGGCTACAATTATATATCAATTTTCATGTGTACATTTCCAGACACATTGGCCCTGCATTCTTCAACATTGCTCTTGATGAGGTTTATTTAATTGCCCACAAAATGTTGGGAGGACCATTCCCAAATGCACACTACAATGCATTTTAGAATGGCCTTCATTTCCAACAGTGTTCTCAATGGACTGCCCACATGTCCTGCAACACTTCCCTCAGAATGCCACAGCAGGGGCATTGGCTCAAAATCCCAATTAACAATAGAATGCATTGCAGAACCCATTGGCAGGCCATTTCTTCAATGTTGCACAGCCCAATACCCCCATTATTTGCTGGATAGCAATCTTGCATTTTCTTTTTGTAAAATTGGCTATCACTCATGAGAACAGTATTTAATGATTCCTAATTGCTTCTTGAAGAGAAAGAATACACTAAAGTTGCAGACAATGTGTAGCACTCTACTAACATAAGGGTAACACTAAGGAAATCCTCCAACAATTTATTTGATGCATTGAATCTTCAAACTTTATCCTAACACCACTTTTTTAAGCAATATGTAAATTTTTATTCTGCATGAACCTTCACATAATGTTGTGTCAATGATTAGTCATTATACAGACTTTGTCACACACACCAAATCTCAGTTAATGGAAAAGTCACTTACTGGACTTATCCCTCAAAATGAATTAACTCCATCATCTGAAGACATCCTCAGTCTACAGTGAAAACAAGGGCTGACTTATAACTTTTGAGACTTTTTGAAATAGATTCAACAGAGTTTCATCAATTCCAAAAATTGCTTTACCCATATATGATTTGGTAACACTTCAGGGCTGTCCAAAATACTATCTGCCTATTACAATGCAGTTTTTCATGCAAAAAATCAAACCATCAAAACAGTGACAAAAATCAAGTTCTCTTAGTTCCTTATATAAGCACCCTATATAACTTCTGAATTCTTCCAGTTCCCAACAGTGAAAGTGGTTGATTCTGCTGAGGACAGGGTTCAGCCTCATTCCCGCCATCAAAGAGCATGCAGCTTGATCAAACAATGGGACTTGGTTTTCAATTGCGATTGTTTTGATTGCTGGATTTATCCCATGAAAAGAAATGCATCGAAATTAGCGGAGACCAATGTTGAACAGCACTGAAGACCTCAAGAGTTACCAAATGATGAGTTTATATTCAAGTAAATTGTTTTCTGGAATTGTTAAGACTCTGCTGAATCTGTGGGGCAGAAGCCTCAGAGTATTTACAGTATTTAGAAAAATTCTCAAAGCTTACGTACCACCCTCTGTACACCCCCACCGAACTTTTGAAATAGATTCGCGTAATGGATTTAACCGCAGGCGCAGGGTACCATTTCAACTACCGGAAATGCATGAACGTTTCTAAAACATTATGTACATAGACATGCAAATATTTTTCCTGAACGAAAATGAACAAAAATATGCATATACCCAGCTGAAAACAATAGCCGTGCTGTTCTGAAACCGCGAGTCTCTCGGCCTGCGGGCAAAGGTTGCGTCGACATGCGGGTACGCCGGGTTCCGCATTCGGTTCCCGATCGGCTGATCCCGGGTTGTCCTTGCGACGTCGACTCGACGACAGCGGAGCTGACAATGTCGTCGCTATTGCGCCCAATGTCGGGCTCACAGCAGGTGATGTCGTCATGACAAGCACCTCATCATCTTTGCATGGCCCGCGGGTGTGTAGCTGGAAGCAGGGGGGAGACGCCGACGTCGTCGTCGTCGTCGAAGGCACAGAGAAAAAACCATCTCGACAGAAGCACTCCACGGCTCCTTTCTCAGTGATCAGGGGTCTCTGGGTTTCTGAACACACTGTCATTGCAGCCTTACCAAATTGAAGAAGAAAAGCCGAGAATTGACAAGGTTTTAAACAACAGTACAAAAACTGACAGGAACAGCGAAGTAAATTATTCAGTATACACGTGGACTCTCGCCACAATGAGTATAACGAATTGTATACCTCTTCTAGCTGGTATACATTTTATCTGCATAAAGAATGTTTTATCCTTAACAGTTCTTCCTATATGTTATAGCAGTTCTCTACAACAAAATTTTCCACTTCAGAAAAATTTTGCGGACCCCTGCACTTTTTGTAGAGAGAGAGAGAGAGATTCCATTTGTATAATTTTCATCACTGTATTACTTGGTTAACCCTTGGGTAGTGAAGTCAGACTTTCCTGCCCCCCCCCCCCTCTTCAAAATGCTGATTCAGTACTCAGTTTGGGCAGATTTAAAAAAAAGCATAACAGTTCACACAGGGGAGCTGAAAAATCCTTGCATATTTTTCAAAAACTACAGAAAAAGTTTCCAAAAAATATATGAAAATGCATCACCAAGGCTGAACTTTCTTTTAGCCTTTCTCTGGATTAGATTCATCATTTTCAGGTCCTCAACTCTTTCATTTTTGGTGCCAGAAGAAGGGTTCTCATTTACAGTCTTTTGTCTGTAGACCAAGGTAAATAAAATATGAGTTCAGAATAAAATATATCTTCAATATACTTTCAAGTCACAAATATTCAGTTTTACAATCACACAAAATATAAAGATATAGAGATGCAAAGAGATGAGTCTTGCTAAATTGTTATGCAAGTCTCTCTGAGAAATAACTGCAAACAACTCTAGATTAATTCTGAGAAAATATACAGCAAAGAAGATATATATATACCTTCTGGCAACACACAGTATATGGGCAAAATATTTGCCTAGATTGAAGAACTGTGGGTTCTTTGAACACTAATGAATATATATACATCAGGGTATATATATGAATACTAAATACATTTAATAAATACACTTGTACCTTCAACAAGATGGTTCTTCCTAAATTGGCAAGTTCTTCAGAAAGAGGAGGGTTGTATGTCACTGTCTACAAATAGCTGGTTCTATTGATGAAACAAACATAAACAGGCATCATGCATTAATGCGGGCTGACGCGAGGGAGGGGAACCAAAACAAGAGGGAACAGCTGCAAGGAACCAAAAACCTTGTAAAAGAGATTTCAACCCAAATAAAGGAGAAGAAAAGAATAAAGAAGGAAATCAGTTTCTGGGTTACAAGTCCAAAAAAATATCAGCAGAAAAAGTCCAACTTGGCCCCCAGGCCTTGTGACTTGCACTTGATCCTTTCATGGCCTTCAAGAAAAATGAAACATAGGTCCACCGCAGAAAATCCTGACTTTTCCTGGCAATGGGACAGAACCCATCACAGAGGAAGGGTTAATTGTCTTGGTTACAGATCTGGATTGAATCAGCCATTTCCTACTAATTCAGATATTCAGCAAATTCTCATTACAACAAGCTCCGCAGTACCTGATAAAAATGTGTGATAATGAAAAATTGCTTGCATAAAGATTCATGGTTTCAAACACATTTCAGACTGAAATTTCATAGGAAATGGGTGAAATATACTATGAATGCTTCTAAAACAGGAATTAGAGACCTGGCATGTTACTTTTTGAGTGTAACAGTGCATCTCCATAGAAATGCAAAGAAAAAATTTGAACAGATATTACTTTCCTGATAGCCTAAACCTGATTTTTTTGAAGAATATTTTTATAGCATGGGGCCTACAAGGAAACTGCCAGGACCAAGAAAAAAACTCAATACTGTACAACCAAGATTTTTTTGAAACACTATTCACTGTAACAGAATTTTATGGGACAGCATAACTTCTTGGACTTCCCAGATTATATTTCTACCTTTGAAGAAATCAATTGTATTATGCAAGGTACTTTGACAGTACAAAATGAAATCTCATGTTGACTGTGAATCATGAAAGTCATCAGCAGCAGATTTTCCATGCAAATTGTATTCAAATAGCTGAAAGAATATCAGTTTTTGAGATAATCAAGACCAAGCAAATATAATAAAGTTGCTTCATTGAAATTCGAACCCTAATACCCTAATTTTTTGCTGAACTAGGGACAAATTTCAAGACACTTTGTGTAATTCCAAAATATTGGTGCAAAAATGCCAAAAAAAGTGGCCAAAGCAGGTCAAATTTGGGGGCAAGGGTCATATTGCAAGTCAACCTCTGTGCAAAGTCAACAGTTGAATTGCGGAATGGTCAAACTGTGGGAGGTCAAAGTGCAATTCACCACCTGTACAACACAGTTTTCAAAGTTATTATGTGATCATGTTTTCTGAATCTGCACACAGAAAACGGAAACAATCTTCAGATGAAACTGAATACTGTACATGTGAAGCTATGCATCTCAAATAAATGCATATGTTCTAAGTTAAATTCTGGACTGAATGTCCAACATACAAGGGTTGGTTCTTAAGCATTGAGACTTTTTGAGATCCTAGGGGAAGGGAGTTCCAAACAATTTCAAAAATGTTTTCACTAGCATAATCCCATAATTTGTAACACTTCAGTTGCGCTCAACATACTCAATGCAGATTTCAAGGCTTTTGCATGCAATAATTTAATGCCCAAACAGTGCAAAAAATCAAGCTCTGTTGGTTGATTCAGCTGCTCTTTGAAATGAGGCTGTCCCTGAAATCCCCTTTCAAGTTGTTCTGCACCATAAAGAACAGCCTGAAGTAACAGCGTGCTGAATCATCAAAAAGAACTCAATTTTTGGCACTGTTTCAATCATTCGATTTATTGCATGACAAATACATTGAAATAAGTATAGAATGTTGAACACCACCGACGGGATTCCAAATGATGGGTCTATTTTCTTGGAATGGTTGAAACTCTCTTCCATCTTTTTTATCTCAAAACGTATTAACCAACCCTCATGTAGAATGCATTTGAGACTAAGTTTCAATTTTTCAAAAAATACACCAAACCTTCAACAAATAACTGGTGTGCAACATGTTGGAATGGATTTAAGAAATGTTTTCGTTTGAAACTATTCAAATAAACTTCAGTTTCATCAGATACTTTTAATTGTTATTCACTATTTGACCTAACATTGAAATATTAGCTGAACTAGCACACGTCAATGTGCGAAGTTCAAATTTTCCGAAGAAAAATCAAAAGGCGGCGAAAAAGGAATGAGCATTAAGATTCATCATATGATATGACCACGTACCGAACGCAAAATTCCCAATAGTCTTGTGTGCTTGAACTTTTTTGAGTAGGAACATTCCCATCTATTCACCAGAAATCCATTCGAGGGAATGAGTTTTCTTAGGAATTTCAACTGACGGCTTTCACGAAAAAAATCAAATGTCTTTGCTGATCGTATAATTTATACGAAGACGATATCAACCCAAGAAAATCAAGACAAGAAAAATGGCTGAAATTTCGATAAAAAAGGACCAGATTCCACATGATCTCAAATGGTTCCTAATTATTTCTCAATAAAAGAATACAATAGGTGTTTACATGCCGGACGTGTCGAGACCAATGGTGAGTGTAAACGTTCATGGAACTAAGAATAAAATGTTCAACTGCTCAATAAACGAAACATATTTGAGTACATCTCACCATTGTCACATTTTCTGAAGATATGCACTCTCCTGTGGGTCCAAGAAAAATTTTGCTGGTGTCTCCACAGGGATGAGGTTCACAGGTGACTGTTAGTGTCGCCTTTTTGCGAACCAGCCAATACCCAAGTGGACAAGCATCCCATGACAGCAATTCTCGACACTCTCCGTCGACATCGTGCCGGAAAAATCCCTTCGAATCGTCACAGCGTTCCTTTCCGGCTGGTTCATCAACTACAGAATTAGAATAAATTAACCCGGGAAAAGAAATGAGGGTGTATAAGGAAAGACTCATATAAAACAAGAATCTTTTCGGATGTGATTTTAGCTGCTCTTCTCCCTCAAACAGGAAGCAATTACTGTCGGTGACAGCCGAATATCGTTCCTCGCGAGGAATCGTTTTCTGAACCTCGAGGATAGAACGATTTCTTATGCAAATCAGTCACTGAAAGGAGACGGGAATATACTGTACTTGATTTCTCTGTCTGGATCTGTGGACCACGAACTTCCAGTTCTTCAGGTTGTAATTCAGACTGGCCTTGGGTTGGAAAGATGATCTTCTTCCCGGAATCCGGCAGTTCTTCGAGTGCCGGCGTTTCTGTGCAATCAAATGTGGAAATTTTTTTATACATAAAACTGTCGATAAATTTTGGTATTCCCCAACGGAGGCATGGTACAGCTGTTAATTCAGAACCTAAGCCCATATTATAGAAGCTGTAAGAAACGAAATCACCTTGAGAATACCCAGAGGGAAGAAAATTCAACCCTGGTTTCGAAGTTTCTCTTGAGACGTACTGTTCGACGCCGGAAATGAAAGTGTTGACCTCTGCTATGGTCTGTCGGAATCTTTCCTCAGGAAACTTCACGCCTTGATTCAAAAATATATTGCGACCTGAATTTATTGCTTCATTCGAAGAACAATTATTACAAAATGTATAAGTAGAGGAGTGTTTTTTTTTTTAGATCTCAGAGGACAAAAACTTCCGGGTGGGTAATATTGCATTGCAGATGAGGCCTCAGAAGCCATTTGCATTTCGATCTATTTTTTACATTAGTCTGAGGCATCGGCGAGATTAACTTTGTAACTGAGTAATATATGAATGTAACTCACCAAGGTAACGTTTTATGACATTTTTATGAAATACCATAGAGAATATTGAAATCTCAGCTGGAATCCAGCATTGTAACTCGAATCATAAGATTCATTTCACGCATAAAAAACCGATTGTTTCAAAGTACAGTGTCACGAAAGGAGGGGGTCTTGAAAAACAAACTAACTCTTCTCGAAAGTTTGCGGTGAATAAATGCCCAGATTTTATGAGCCATAAGGTGAAATTGAAATCGAATTTTCAGTGTTTCTTTCAATAAAATTGAAAACTAAAAATTCTCAAGTAGTTGGTCTGTTCTTCTAAATATGCTAAATTATTTATTGATATGATGACTTGATATGACAGAATTTAGAATACAAGTGGTATTTTGCTATTGACCTTCCACAATTCGACCATCCCACAATTAAATGGTTGAATTTGCAGAAAGGTTCACTTGCAATTCAACCTCTGCCCCAAAATTCAACCTGCATTGGCCATTTTTCACATTTTTGTGATAATATTCTCAAGTTTACAAAGTATCTTGCATTTTGACCATTTCGCAATTTTACCCCAGTTTGACAAGGGATTAGGGTCAAATTTCAAGGTACCACCTGCATCACATTATTATTACCATTTTTATTATTCCATATACTGGTAATAGTGCAGTTTTTTTGTCTTCTTGAATGCAAATAAGATATTTTTCTTGTTTCTGATCGATTTCGCTTCTCTTTTGCGCTTTGAATATAGTCAGTTTATTTAATCATGAAGACAAACTTCCCAAAAATATTGCAATCATGGGAGGTCACAACATGCGGACACCCTCATAAAAGAAATATTCGACTTATTATAGTGACGCTTTAAGCATTGAAAAATCTGCCCTCACATTTCGACAATGTCGAACATGATACAGACAGTTTCACAAAGTTCCAGAAGAATACAAAAATTTTTAATTTCTGCATTGGGGCACATTCCTTTGCAGTTTTCCTTGATCATTGGTTATATACACCTATACTAACACGTACAGTAAAATCTCGTAACAACAAAGCCACTTTTTTGGCTGTATAAAGACCGGTAAAATAGCTTTGCTTCAAATGATAAAAGGTTGTAAAGGAAGTCAGTCAACATTGTCACTACAATGGGCAGGGAAACAACAACAAAACCGAGTTCATCCTGATCGATTTTTCCTTATAAGGAAATTCTTTGGAATGATATTCTACTGTTCTGTATTATTTACAGTGAGGTATATAGTGAACTGAACCCAAAATCGGGGACATAATCAATTTTCTGGGCAAAACATATGTTACCAGAATAATATTAGCTCATGCAGTTGAAAAACCTTCTATATCTTCTTATACACTACCACTTCCAGCCACAGGTCAAATGTTGTACGAACCCCGGTTAAAGTGGTCTCGCAATCCGTTGAGCACAGTCCTTGAACCCGACACCAAAAAATTGCGAAATTCATCTCCATGAAACGCACCTTCATTTACTCCATGGCCCGCAGTAGTTGTCAGCACTGAGACACCCAGTAAAAATTGTGCGAAAATTCGCGGACTCCACTTCATTCCGTATATCTCAGAAGTTAACTAGGATTTGCTGCTTCAAATACGTCAATAATACAGATCACATTTCCCCGCGAATTCCGGATATAACGAAGACTTGTTAATGCGACGTTCGTGAAAAAAGAATTGAAATTCTTTTCCAAAATAGTACTTCAACATCGAATAACTGCGCTTTTATGTGTTCGAAGCACGTACTTGAAAGGATTTGAATTCAAAATTGTGAATCTCTGAACGAGCAGAGAGAGAAGGTTGTTGGGTTTCGAATGAGACCCAATGAATGAGGGCTTCTATCGTTCCCAACTTGCTCACGCATAAATGGAATGGTGTAGGCAGAGAACCCGCTTCACGTGGACGCGGACACGCATGAACCCTCTTGTCGAGACTATGAATCTTCTCAACATTCCCAGCTTCTTTCTATTTTCTGTAATTCTTTTGATTGCGAAAGATGAGAAGCCGCGCGCGGGGATGGTGATGATGAGCACTGAAATGGTTTCTTGTCTGCTCCATGGATTTAACCTCGTGTACGTCGTGCTTCCAGGAAAACATATGTCGATCTCAAGTAACCCAACAAGCTATTTAATGAAAAAAATCTTGTTGTGGTGGTTATGGTAACCTTGTTGATGGCCAGAAATACAATCTTGTTGTGGTGGTTATGGTAACCTTGTTGATGGCCAGAAATACAATCGGCTATACTATAGTGGGAATGTCTCAGCACCCATATTTGAAAACAATTGCTGGTTTAATTCCTTATTCTCATTGTGTAATCTTGTTGTGGTGGTTATGGTAACCTTGTTGATGGCCAGAAATACAATCGGCTATACTATAGTGGGAATGTCTCAGCACCCATATTTGAAAACAATTGCTGGTTTAATTCCTTATTCTCATTGTGAAAAAAAAAATCAGACACATTCATATCTATGTTTTGTGCAATGCCAATCAATTTATGCATGTCATAATCACCACAGTACCTTTACTAGTCATTGTAATGAGGGCATGTCTTTTCCTATGTTTTAAAAATATCTGTGTTTCAACTCAGGGCATCCTGAAATCTTATGCTAAAATTAAAAGATCAGATCAATCCCAGATTCTTTGAGGCTTCCTGTCAGTCCACAACTACACCACTATAGTGGAGGCAGAATTATATCAAGGAATTTACTGCAGTTCACAGAGCAGACCGGAAATATTACATCAGATTCAAATTAAATTTGTTACCCTGCAATTTCACGCCAATCCATTGCTGGAATATAGTTTAATTCTGAAATAATGTCAAATGCTATGTTTTCTACGTCAAATTCAATGTTTTGCGTCTTTCTGCATGTCAAATTGCAGGGCAGAGTCAAACTCACAACAAATTTGACTGTCAAATGGTGAGATTTCAAATAGTAATAAGGTACCAACTGTACAATAAAGCACTGTTATATAGTTGGTACAGTGATACTTCATAATATACTGTATCATAAAGCAGCGTATTTCCTCTCCAAAATTTAATGTTTGCCAATCATTGCTATCAATGCAAAGAAATTGAGCACATTTGTTTCATGTTGTAGAAAAATGTTATGTGTCTGGAAGCTTTTAGAATTTCTTTCGACTTTCACGATTTGGACTTGTATATTGCTTCTGATGACAAAAGGTGTGACAACAAGGGATTCAAATGAAAAAATATATAGTTTCTTTATTCTGCAGATAGGTAGAAAACAGTGCCTGGGAGCCCAAAAAAAGTGGGCAACATGCCACTACTCAACTTTTTTCACATCTTACCCCCTCCTCTTGAATTTTGGGAATGTGTGGATCCTCTTGGCGCAGCATGACGGTTACTGGTTGAATTACTGGTCCTGCACCCTATATATCCTAAAGACAGCTTTGGAGAACAGGGCAGCTTAGTGGAATATGTTGTTTGGCAAATTTTTTTCCAACTTTTTATTCCAATTGTTCTTGTGACTTTTCATGACAGTTGAGAGCACAAAACTGTCTTCCATTTGAAAGGGTATTGAACAAGCTTTCATTTGGTGTTTTTTCAACTTGTGTGGCTCAATGTGCTATTTAGCTCTTGTAAGTCAAACATTGGTTCACTTTTTTGCCCACCCTGCTGCATGTATTTGTTTTTTTAATGTGATGCATTATTATTTATTACATTTTTGATCCAGGCAAATGCAATATTTGAATTCATGCTTACATTGCCCTACCCAAAAGGAGTTGGCATGAAAATCTGGTCTAAATAGAAATCAGGATGTACCATATTACTGTATCTGATAATATATATAAAGGACTAATTGTTATCTTCACCAGATGCATTGAGATATAAGTAGGCTTTACTTATTTATGATTTCTTAAATACGCATTGTCATTCATTCCATGTGTTGAAGGAACGATTTCAAGAATTCCTGTTAAAAACCGACTTTTTTGGATTTTTCATCATGAAACTCGATGTGACTTTCGTGAGTGCTATATCACACAGACTTGCGAGGTTTAGTTTAGAAGAAATGCCCTCTGCTGGAGGAAAGTTTTCATGTCCGTTATTGGGATTTTTCATTTATGGTTGGGTCTTTTGTCAAAATAACATTGTGAAAACGAACTGTAAATCACACTTAATAAGGAAAAAATCATACAGCAGCTTAGTGGAATAAATTGCAGTAAATTAGTTCAGACGTTTGATGATCAGTACCTTAATGATGCTCACAACTTACAACCACTGGGAGCAGAACACAAATCCGCACTATTCGTTAAATAATTTTAGCTGACAAATATAAGTACAGTAGCAACTCGAATTGTATAAAATATGTAGTGTACTACTGTATAGCGTTTATATGGAAGATTTTGCATGTATTTTCGAATTATATCATCATCAAACCAAGGCAGTCGATGTGAAGTACAGTAAAAATGTGCACATTCTAAAAGTTCATTTTGATTGAATTGATGAAATACTTCGACAGTATTTTCATCGAATAAAATTCGTATGTCTATCTTCGATTCCGCAGCTAGGTTCATGCATTTTTTTTTTGTCCAACTTATTCACTGCCAATTCAAGTCGGAGTTGAAATCGCCCAAATGTGCTCTACCGGCTAATCAATCACGTTAATTTTAATTTTACAGCATTCTGAAGAGGGAGAAGATTGATGAATCACATATGCCCGGCTTGTTCATCTGTTGGAAAGGCATTCATTTCCATAATCTCGGCGTTTGTCCGTCGTTAACGTTGAGTTTTCGGGCAGAGATGAATTGTCGACTCCATGCATGGAATTTTCAAGGGAAGTTGATGGTGTAGAGATGAATTCAATTCATTACACTTCACTTGGCGACTCTTTACAACAAAACAACTCATCGCCGCGGACGGATTCAATAAAAATAAAAGAAGAAGAAGAGCACATGTTGAAACAGTGTACAGTTCCCGTCTTCGCTTCTTTTCTCCTTGTCTTACACTTGAAATATGTTTCCATGTCCCATCCCCGCGAGAAACACACCGGAGGACGCGGAAATGACAACATGTCTTCGGGTATCACGGGAAATCAAAAACCCGAATTCTTCTTGGAATTGGCAGCGAGGAACCTGTCGAACTCCGTCGACATCGACACTCTTGGGAAAGGGGAATGAAATTCGGCAAACAAGTCGTCGAGTTTGGCGTCGACAGGCACGAGGTCAGGGCGTTGGCGCAGCTCGGATCGCCAGAAGGACGTCGACGATTTCCCCAATTGATTGCCGAGGTCCTCGTCGTCGTCTTTCGAATTGTTTTTGTTGCTGTCGAAGTCGTCGTCGTCGTCGTCGTTGGCCTCGTCGCTTCCCGCCGACGTCAGTAAAGTGGAGGCGGAGTTGAGGAGGCGAACCCCGGCAACGACGAGGTCGTCGCCCGTGTCCGCCTTCGATGTCGGCGTGATGAAGTCCACGGGTTCCAGGCGGATCACAACCGGGTCATCTTCCTTAGTAAAGTGGAGGCGGAGTTGAGGAGGCGAACCCCGGCAACGACGAGGTCGTCGCCCGTGTCCGCCTTCGATGTCGGCGTGATGAAGTCCACGGGTTCCAGGCGGATCACAACCGGGTCATCTTCCTAAAATCCCCGCACGGATAAAAAATAAAAATACCAGGAAGAAATGGGCAAAACGCCGCCGAGTTTTTTGAACATGCTTCAAAACGGCACCAACGAAAACAATCTGTATATACTCTGATCCCAGCATGCGCGTGTTTGCGGCGATGAAAAAAAAAATTACAATTGAAAGCTCAGGCTAACTATATTCTAACTAATTCTGAAAATGTATCGCCGAAAGTTGATTCAACTTATTCTGCTTACTTTTTTTTGAAATTGCTTCGCATCATAGCATTGCATTTTTCAAATGTTGTTTTGTTATGTAAGTCTCTTCTCGGTCGAGTTGGTGTTGTTGAAGTTAGTTTACTTAATGGACGAGAAGACAAGCAAGAAAAACGTCAATAGTTTTACTGTATATTACGTTCGTTTTTTGTAAAAACTATTTTAGGAGTTGGGCTATCTGAAACATAAGATAAAAAATCTAGAACAACTTTAACATCAACTTTGCAGAGGGTTTGACCTGAAATTAAACCCTTGCCCTGAAATTCAACCTGCTTTGGCCACTTTTTTGCTGTACGAATATTTTTGAATTTCACAAAGTATCTTGAAATTTCAACACTTTGCAATTGACCACAGTTAACGTTATCTAATCCCAAGTTAATTTTCCATGGTGAACAAAATAAAAGTTTAATGTCGCGTCATGAATGAAAGTATTTTGATAAAAAAAGAAACCACTGTTTTTGAGGTTAAATGACCTTTTGAACGTTCCTTTGATTTCTGTCTGGTCAGTGCAGAAGCTTGTGGTGCAACATTGACTTTGAATGGAAAACTAGCTCAGCTAGCTTGAAAAAAAAACTACATGCAGGAATTCAAGTCTGCAACAAATATGGTAAAGTACATACATTTTGTTTGAACATGAAGATACATTGTTCCGAAAAACAGTTGAGCTAGTGCCAACTGCCAAGTCTAAAGACGGCCATACTGCATCATTGTCTGACTCACGGAAAGTATTTTTACAAGTGGTGTTTCCTGCTTGACATCCTGGTGATTTTTTTTTGTGCATGTATATTTTTTTTAGGTTTGTTCCTTCAGGTATGCGTTGTTTTGGACGTACTCTTCTGGAGCGATCCATTTTTGGACGAATTCAAATGTCCGGCATAATCAGGAAGCAGAGACGCCCATTTCTCTCATTATAATTCCGAACCCTTGAAACGAATGCGTAGGAGACATACATGAAAAGTAATGCATCATTGTCTAGTTCAGAATGCCATTGTACAGTACTATAACGCAAACACAAACTTCTACGCAACAACATTGGATCCGATTAAGTGACACGGCACAATTTGAATAAGCTGTGAGTCAATGTGGATATTTTTTGCATATGAAGCAGTATATATTTTTGATCTAGGAAAGGGGGTGAAACGAAGGTATCTTTTCAAAGGAGACTTTCTACGAAAACTTTTATCTGCCGTTGTCAGAAAATTTAGAGATCTGTGGAATTCTGTAAAGATTTGCTCCTATTGTTTCCAGAGAAAAATATTCAACCAAAACCTTCGTATCGTGAACTTTTTCCCTCTTGAAGCAGATAAATAAATTCCTTTTTTGGGGTCTCTCCCTTTTTCTCCTGGCCTCGACGTTTTCTATGATTGGGATCAATGAGAAAATGTGATAGGATATATTTCATTAGATTACAGTATTTATAATCATCCATTACATTAATTCACCGCCTCAATTTTCTGCAGCAATAAGCCATAATTTTTTTTGCCGACTTTGGAATGGCATGAAGGACAAAAAATCTCATGGGCAATTTTGAAAATAGCAAGGCATAATGAGGCTCATGCTTGTATGTCTCAGTTGTAAGTGAAGTTTGAAAGTTCAACTTTTCATGGAGCGGCCAAATGACACAAAGTACAATATTTCATTCGATTACTCTTTGAAAATTTGATTTAGACGTGAGATGCGTCAAATTTCACATTGAATTCTCTTGCTTTATGCTCAAGAGGTCGTCAAATACAGTATTTACTCGAATCTCATATCCTCATATGAGCCAAATAAAATATGTTTGTACTAATCTTAGTGCAATCAATTGGACCTGAACGTAAGTAGTATTAAAAACATCGGATAATAAAATTTATAAAAATTTTAAATCAGCACTCTCAAGAATTTTGATACAAAGAACGCCCTAGTAAATCTTGTANAAATTGCTTCGCATCATAGCATTGCATTTTTCAAATGTTGTTTTGTTATGCTTCAGAGAAGAGCCAGCTCAACCACAACAACTTCAATCAAATGAATTACCTGCTCTTCTGTTCGTTCTTTTTGCAGTTATCAAAATGACATATAATGCAAGCAAAAAACATTTTTGATAAAATCCTCTTGGGCTATCTGAAACATAACATAAAAAATCTAGAAAAACTTTAACATCAACTTTGCAGAGGGTTTGACCTGAAATTAAACCCTCGCCCTGAAATTCAACCTGCTTTGGCCACTTTTTTGCTGTACGAATATTTTTGAATTTCACAAAGTATCTTGAAATTTCAACACTTTGCAATTGACCACAGTTTTGCAATAGATTAGGGTTCAATTAAAAGGTACCACTTGTTTTATTTTCAAATTACAGCGCAGTACTTACTTTCATAAAACTATTTTTTTCTTTGGTGACAAAAACTCCAATTTACTGGAAAACTTGCACCCTTGATTTCTGTCTAGTCAGTGCAGAAGCTTGTGGTGCAACATTGACTTTGAATGAAAAACTAGCTCAGCTAGCTTGAAAGAAAAACTACATGAAGGAATTCAAGTCTGCAACAAATATGGTACTGTGCATACATTTTGTTTGAACATGAAGATACATTGTTCCGAAAAACATTTGAGCTAGTGCCAACTGCCAAGTCTAAAGACGACCATACTGCATCATTGTCTGACTCACGGAAAGTATTTTTACAAGTGGTGTTTCCTGCTTGACATCCTGGGGATTTTTTTTTGTGCATGTATATTTTTTTTAGGTTTGTTGCTTCAGGTATGCGTTGTTTTGGACGTACTCTTCTGGAGCGATCCATTTTTGGACAAATTCAAATGTCCGGCATAATCAGGAAGCAGAGACGCCCATTTCTCTCATTATAATTCCGATCCCTTGAAACAAATACGTAGGAGTCATACATGAAAAGTAATGCATCATTGTCTAGTACAGAATGCCATTGTACAGTACTATAACGCAAACACAAACTTCTACGCAACAACATTGGATCCGATTGAGTGACACGGCACAATTTGAATAAGCTGTGAGTCAATGTGGATATTTTTTGCATATGAAGCAGTATATATTTTTGATCTAGGAAAGGGGGTGAAACGAAGGTATTTTTTCAAAGGAGACCTTCAACGAAAACTTTTATCTGCCGCTGTCAGAAAATTTAGAGATCTCTGGAATTCTGTAAAGATTTGCTCCTATTGTTTCCAGAGAAAAATATTCAACCAAAACCTTCGCATCGTGAACTTTTTCCCTCTTGAAGCAGATAAATAAATTCCTTTTTTGGGGTCTCTCCCTTTTTCTCCTGGCCTCGACGTTTTCTATGATTGGGATCAATGAGAAATGTGATATGATAGATTTCATTAGATTACAGTATTTATTATCATCCATTACATTAATTCACCGCCTCAATTTTCTGCAGCAATACGCCATAATTTTTTTTGCCTACTTCGGAATGGCTTGAAGGACGAAAAATCTCATGGGCAATTTTGAAAATAGCAAGGCATAATATCATCCATTACATTAATTCACCGCCTCAATTTTCTGCAGCAATAAGCCATAATTTTTTTTGCCGACTTTGGAATGGCATGAAGGACAAAAAATCTCATGGGCAATTTTGAAAATAGCAAGGCATAATGAGGCTCATGCTTGTATGTCTCAGTTGTAAGTGAAGTTTGAAAGTTCAACTTTTCATGGAGCGGCCAAATGACACAAAGTACAATATTTCATTCGATTACTCTTTGAAAATTTGATTTAGACGTGAGATGCGTCAAATTTCACATTGAATTCTCTTGCTTTATGCTCAAGAGGTCGTCAAATACAGTATTTACTCGAATCTCATATCCTCATATGAGCCAAATAAAATATGTTTGTACTAATCTTAGTGCAATCAATTGGACCTGAACGTAAGTAGTATTAAAAACATCGGATAATAAAATTTATAAAAATTTTAAATCAGCACTCTCAAGAATTTTGATCCAAAGAACGCCCTAGTAAATCTTGTACAGTACATGAATCGAGATGGAAATCAATTTCACCGAGAGTGAAGATATGATGTTACGACGATACATCAGCAGTTCCCGAAGTACACTTTTGTACAGGACAGTATAACCCGTTTCGTCCCGTGCTTAAAGTGCTATACACACAAAGCAACAGATAAGTGCATTGCGATACCGCGTACCAGACAGCGAGCGACATCTCAAGAAAAACCCATGAAACAAGCTTCTGATGTGCAGGAATATCGTGTGTGATTCCCTCTCGGTATTTTAACTATTTTTGGCTGTTTTGTTCCCGGTGTTCGCATAATTCAATTGATAATTTCAGAAAGATTTCAGATCCTCTGCTATCAAAATCGTACTCTTGAGCATTTATCATTATCGGAAATTGTCGATTTTAATCGAAAAAAAAGTCCGTCAAAGGAAAGCGACTCCGCTTTCCAAAATACTGGACTAGTAGTTCTGGAAAGAAAACGATCTTCTCTAAGATACATTTTCCAGTAAGTATAGATGTCACTGTATGAAATATGAAAACATTTTTTTCTAACTCAAGTTTGCTGCCTGGCTTTCAAGAAACCACTTTCGCACGGGCTGAAGGTCAATAATATTAAAATTTCTTCACAATTGATAAGAAATGCAGGATGAAAATCGTATTCTAAAAATTGGTGTTGTGAAAAGTTAGCAAACATTCTGAAAAACAAGCGAAGATTTCCTTTTTCCAACAACTTCAAACCATAACGTATACATGAATGAATTCGAAGTTGATTAAGAATTTACCTTTGAGAAATATTGAGCGAATGGCGGTGGAAAAATTATCGCTCCTCTGGCGATCTAATCAAAGTAGGTTTATTCTTAATTGACCTCATAATCTGACATCACATGACATTGGTTTTTGAAGCATTTAACCAACTCTTTTGAATGTTCATAAATTCAATGATGCTTGAATAAAATTCAATTCAATGATGCTTCGACTCAAAGCATCATTCAAGTGTACTGCAAAAGGACATGCCCAGTCATTTATGCATTGTTCCGTTGATTTATTTTCCATAGTTGAAACACAGTCCATCTGAAGCTTCCTCTAATATGCATGAAAATTATAATAAGTATAAGATGGAAATTAAAATTAAGCGTATTCCTCCGGAGAAAAACACATACGTTTGCGGGAAAATGAGAGAAGTGTCGTGTTGTGGATGAGGTGCATCATCATCATCATCATCATCAGTTGCAGTGCTGAAGGACACCAAGTAGACTTGATCGTACGACACCTGGGAGTCGAGAGGAATGACGCCCTGCACTATTTCGGCGTCCGAGGAAATTCCGAACCCGTTTCTCAGGGATTGTTGCTGATGCGAAGACGTCTGCTGCGGAAGTTGCAGCAGACTCACCAGAGGACCTCGTGTGCTGTCAGCAGACGTTGCTTGACCTTTGTTGATGCTGCTGCTGATGCTGCTTATTCTGGGGGTCGTCGAAATGAGTTGCTGACTGGGGTTGTCGAACGGGGGGTAGTGTTGGTAGGTTTGCAGGAAGCTTGTGCTTCTGCCGAAGTCGGGGTTGGGGTCGGGCGAGAAGAAGTTACTGTCCTTGCCCGAGGTGATGGTCACAGGGATGATTGGACGATCTCCTGTTGCAGCGGAAAAGTATATGAGTAAATTATGCATACTTTTTGATTATATGGCCAAGAAACTTCAGGATTGATTTTTGAACAATAGATCTTGAATCACAAGAAAATCTACAACAGAGGATTCGAATTATGGACTTTTAATGCTTGGGTAGCGGTGCCAGGGGGAGTAAAAAGAAAGAAAGAACAAGAATTATTACAAGAGCAAAAGTTGGGAGAAATCCCAAATTTTTTTTAGCATTCCTGCAGAAACATTTTGCCAAGAAAAGAGAAAAAAAAGATATTCTGGGGAGGCATTTCGTCTGAATTCCTCTCATGGGATTAGCATTGAGGGATTTTCAGAACAATGGCTTTCCCAATCCCAGATTTTTTCCAACCTTGGCTAATCAGCCAAAGCTGCCATTTGGTGTCCTTTGGTCGAACCAAAATGCACTACAGGGAGCAACAAAAAAGATCCCAGCACTGCCACACAATGGAAAAAGACCTGCCACTGCCCAAGGGTTAAACTCCACAAACCTACCTCGAATAACCTCCAGAAAATAACTCAAGATACGGTCAATTTTCCATCATTTCCAGAAAATTGAAACATTTCATTTTTCTAATTTTTGATATTTCTTGAACAAATTGAGCTATTTATTTTCAAAAATATGCCAAAAATTCATTATAAAATTCCTGCGTAGAACGCATAATCAAAAACAGGCTTATTCTTCAGATTTTTTCTCTCCTGAAAGTCCTGAGTGCAAAGTAAGTAAAGCTACACTTGTTCCTGCTTCTTGCATCCTGTGCTCCTTCCATCGCCATAAGGTCAGATTCTGTGTATTTTTCTTTTGTGCAGTTTTTTTCAGTAACTTAATTTTTTTTTAATTTGAAATAAAGAATATTCAATTTGTTGGGGATTTCTTTATACTGTATAATATTCTTCGTATAATTCAAGCAGTTACAAAACGAAAAATCTTACCAAATCTGGTGGTGGTTCCGATTTGATGATTGTTGCTGCTCCCCGTTGACTCGTTGCTGCGGAAACAAGAATCAATGCTTGAATGTTGAGATACTGACGTGAAATCGATTGCGTCTTCCTTGTTCATTTCAGCTGAAAAATCAAAATTTTTTTTCGGAGGGAACCATTGGTTTCCCAAAAATCGCTTTCAACGAAATATAAATGCATAACCTCGAACGGAAATGATTCCAGAGGGAAAATGTTGACCTTTCTTCCAATTAAAAAAAATTACAGAAGGAAAGGAAATCTTGAAACGCATGGAAATTTCAACAACAACAAAAATTCCCTCATGCTTCTGAGACTGATTTCTTGAATTCAGAAGCGCAAATATAGAATCAATCCGAAATGAACTGAATATTCAAATATTTCAGCCATCTCTTCTCGGATACATCAATCGAAATCTTTGTCGAAACTGTTGCAGAAAAAATAGCAATATCTGGAAAAATCATTGGCTCAAATTGATCACTATAACGAGCTGCAACCATGATTCAGACAAGAGAGAAGAAAATGTTTCTTTTCATGCCCTGCAGCTTACAACTCTTCAGATGAAAGCGATGAAAACAAAAGTCACGCGCCGACGAACAGAAGTAAAGCATTGCTGACAGAAGTAAAACCATCACTCGTTTTCGTGAAGTTGTCACTTCGTCATTACAACAATCTGTGTCACGTCGACAAGTCGGAAAGGAGAAAGCCCTCCAACGAACTTCTCAACTTTTTTTTTCTGTCTGTGGACCGGAAAGATTAGAGTCTTATTTATTTTTTCCCGAAATCCTCAAAGAAATCTCTAGCAGCGAAAACACGGAAGATGAAATGAAAATAAGGGAAGAAACCTCATGAAGATTTCAACAAACATACGTACTACGCAGATGTCGGTCTCTTTTCTATGGGATTCTTTCGAGACTCCAGATATATACTTTCTTTTATTTTTCACACATTGAATTTTCCAATTAGAACAACACAATATGCTGTCTGTGGGAAGAAACAACAAGAGGAAACTGATGAAGTTTCGATTATTTCCTCAATTGTTAATGACATTGGCCCACCAGGAGCCAGGAAATATGATGAAATTTTCTGGCCAGAGATCACCTGACCAGAAAATTCAAAGAATCTATTAAGACCTCTTTTTACTTGTAATCTATAAGCAGTCTGTCCTGAACTCTTAAAGGACAATCTTCTATTTTTTTCCTAATGATTTGTGCACAAATCTGTAATTTGCATTTATGTGAACTGATCTTGTGATTTTAATCTATTGTGTGAATTGATTATTTTTTATTGAGTGCTTTATATTCCTTGACTCTGCTAAGAATAAACTGAATAAACATTACAGTATTTCAAAAGTATCAGGAACATATATTCGAGGTGACCCCTTGAATATGTGTTTTTCGCCTCAAAAGGCGGAGTGCCAGCATTTTTATTTCTTTGGTGAGAAATCAAGCTCACAATGTATGTTAGGTTTTTTGAATACTGTATGGGGTTGTTCTGCTCAGATTTTAGAAAATGACTTTTCATGCACAAATACAGTAGTGAAGACCTGGCCGAAATCAAGCTAGATCTGTGATGACGGATCAGTGTCAAGAGATATTTCTTTGGCTAAAAATAAATTATGTTTTGAATTGTATGTGATTTCGAAAACGACTATCGAGAGAGGGAGAGAAATAATGCTTATTTTTCTAACAGGAATAGCTTTCGAATGAGAAAAATGCAACGTGAATTTCAAACATTTCCTCGTGACAAAACATTTTAATTGCACTGGGGTTTGACAGCATATCGTATTCCGTGTAAATATCGCTGTACAATTTCCCCAATATTCTTCAAACAAACGAAAGAGCGAAGAGAAAAACTTACTCGTATTAGAGTCGTACCACGTTAAAAGAATGGAGTCTGTGTATCTCGATCAGGGCTTCAAAAAACAGGAAAAAGAACTTAGAATCTGTGCTCTTCAGCGGTTGAACACGTGAAAAACAGAACCTGATGAACTTACGAGTGACTTTGAATAAGGAGTGGTGCCCCGACATGCGGACGCCCCAAAATATAAAAAATGTGACTTAGGGACACTTCATAACATAAAAATGCTGTCCTCACATCTGTAGAATGTCTGGAGATACGGACACTTCACCAAAATTTCAAAACGATTTGAAAATATGCATTTTTCGAAATTTTCATATCCTTCGAACAAATTATGCTTTTTGTATTCGCAAAAAATTTAAATATATTTGATTATAAATAATCCGCTAAAATTCACAATTCAAACGGGCTAATTTTATGCTTCGTTTTCACAGTTTTTTCCATCATCTGTGCAGACTTGGGCTTTTTCTCTGCTTTTTGTGCTTCTTTTCATGCGAAAACATCAGATCATTTGCGGCTTTGTTTTGCACTTCTATTCTCTGCCTCTTGAAGTTGAGATACATTTTAATATTTTGGGGACTTTTCTAATTTCTCCAAATCATCAGAACCAATTACGTACTGTGAATATAGTACAGTATGGTACAGAATATAGTTCCATTGCATTCCAAGGGAAAAAAAAAAGATCCGACATCAGGACGTTTCGACAATAGGGACACGGTCCAAGTGCGAATTTCGTCCGCATCTTCGGGCCCTACTTTTATTAGTGTATTGGACTGACTGCTTTTTTGTATGACAAAAGATAATCTCTTATTCTAAGGGACTTCATTTTTTCTTTCTGGATATTATCCATGCGAGGATAATGGCTGTATTTGCATTCTGGGAGAATTTCAATGAAATTATTCTTTCAACAATGTGCGCTTTCAAAAATGGTTGGTTGTGTTCGTTGATGTTTTTGCTCTGCTTTGCGATAATTTTAAATCTTATCAGCATTCTCAGATATCTCTTGCGGCTTTATTTTTGCAATCGAATTTTGAATTCAAAGGGCATGCATTGCTACGAAATATGTTATGTACCTTTCGTTTATAAAGTTGAAAGAATCTCACTTTTTGGCATCGAAACCTTCGAATTCTTTGGCGAGTCTGCTAAATGCGTTCCTCCGGTCCAATTCTTCCTGATCCAAAAAGCTGCTACTCGTGCTGGAACCCCCAGTGAAACCCACGAGACGGTTCTTTCTGGAATCCCCCTCGGGGTCATCGTTGGACACTGAGATCGGGCTGCGGAAGACCAGGTTCCTCTTGACATTTCCACTATCCGCAATACGCGTGAATTCCGAAGACGGGGAAAATCCTGGAGGCAGTGAAGTGGGTTGTGTCGGAGCCGGGGTTTGGACCTGGATGAGCGGCACACTTGTTACAGTGCCCGGGAACACGGGTTCCAGAGTGGAGAACGGGTCACGGGTTGGGAACACCGGCCTCGCAGGTTGCGGCGGTGTGGGCAAATTCCGCAAGATGGCGTTGAAAAGTGGCGCCGGTTGTCCGGGGACAGTCGGCTCCGCGCGAGATCCGCCAGGGCTTGTTAGGGGTTGCCAACCGTCCCCGTGAACCTCGCCCACTGGCTGAAGTGGCGCCTGCTGATATAATTACAGTGGCGACCCTTGATTATACCAAAATTTCCAGTGAAAGAACGTCTGTCAATTGAGAAAAATCCGTCATTAACAAACAAAAAGTTGGTCAACAAACTTCTGCTCAAAGGAAAAATTTCCCTAATTTAAAAACGTGAAAAATTTTATGAACCTGAAATGTAATGAGCCATTTATTTGCAGTTCCTATGGACAAGTCAAACTTAAAAATTATTAGCCAGACCAAAGGCTTACACAACATTTGTAGATATTTTTCATAATGGAGTTATTAAATTACGTGTTTCTGTGGTCTGAGCAAAATTAATTGAACAAATGTCATACACCTGTTAGAAACTGTAAAAAATATAGTTCAAAACTGTTTTTTTCCCTATTCAACTGTTCAACTCCTATTTTTTTTCTTTAGTCGCGGAATTGTAAACGCAAAAAAATCTCTGATGACAGTTATCCTGCTCATATAAAAATTTGTTTTTTTGCAAAATCTTTTGAGAGCTGTTTTAATTCCTCATAATTACATTCAACAATACAAAGCATTAAAAATTACAGAGGATGAAACAGTAAATTGTGTACATTTGAACCTGTATGACTCCCTCTGACCACCCTCAGTGAAATAACACCCTGATAAAGTTTAAAAATTCTTTTCCCGTCCCTGCCTGAATTTCCTTGGAAACCATGCATCAAACACATCTTGAACTTGAAGGTTTTTCCTCTCAAAACTCCTTGACCTTTCCATGGCAGAGCTGGGAAATATTTGCGGAATTTGGTGACATGCAACATCAGAAAAAAATGTTGGTCAGGTCAGGAGAGCCTAAGTCAGGAAACCCCCAATTTTTTTTTCATTCTGCCTAAAATTTTTGCTAAAAAAGAAAGTAAATCCCAGTTGGGTGGCATTTTTTCTAGCATTCCCACTGACAGGATTAGTATTGAGAGGTCTAAAGAATAATAAAGGTGGTACCTTGCACTTTGACATTTATCTGTTGCCAAACTAGGGTCAAATTGCAAATTGGTTGAATTGCGAGATACTCCATCAAATTCAAAATATAAATCAAAAAGTGCAAAAAATGAAAAAAGAAGGTCAAATTGCAAGTCAGCCTCCCTGCAAATGTTACTGCTGAATTGCAGGAGGTTGAATTGCACTCTAGCACCTGTTAGCCTAAATTTTCCTGGGCTTTTCCCAACATTCACTGTATCCAGCCAAGGCTACTTTTTAATGACCTTTAGTCAAACAAAAATGTGCAAGCCTCCAAAATATCTCAGATTTGTTGCACAATGAAAATCAACCTTTGGTTGTCCAAGGGTTTACTCAAATTTTTTGAGGCAGTTTTTTTTTCTTCACCAGGGATTGATAGAGAAGAGAAGTGGACGGAAAGAGGAACTTGATTTGTTTTGAACGGAAGTAAAAAACTGATAAGGCAAATGAAAATCTTGCCTCCAAGTTTAGCATCCTGTCAACTAATTTATAAGAGAAGCAATTTAAGGCTCAGCATTTCACCATTGCAATATTCCCATCTTTTCCATTGAAAAAAAGCTCTTTTCCTCTGCTTGAAACCTCTGTAACTTGATTTCTTGTGCGGCTCTTCTGAAATTTCACTTGAAGGTTTGACTATTTCTTCATGCAATTAAATTATGATATTTTGATTGCTGTATCCACATAAGCACCAGTTTGCCTCTTTGAGTTGAAATATGTTCCTGACATATGCAAACCCTGAAGTTCTGACAATTTGACTTCTGGATACTTCAAGTTCAAAAAAGAATGCAACCCAACATCTGCAAAATATATCATGTCTTAGTTTACATCGCCAAATTGTTCATGAATAAATGTTTACAACAAACTGAATTACTTTTTAATATCCTGCTTTCATCCTGTACACCTTGGAAACGCAGGCTCGAACATTCATTCATGAATCACGGGAAATCTCACAAAGGCGTGGTACTGAAGTGCTTTCAGGTATGAACAAAACAATAATCATGCTTATATTCAAATATGTGGGAAACCGCTTAACAAGAGCGAGTAGATGGATGTATGCACTGTGATTACATAATTCATGCCAGCAGCACTCCCTGTATGGCCTTGTTCTGGAGGAGCTTTTGACATTTTAAAGAGCACCTATGATTGAAGCTTAGTCGGAAACCATCAACTTGAATAAAGTATCAGGCATACAACGTTCTCTCTATGCATTCTGCTTCTATTTTTTTGGGAATACCGTATTTCAAATATCATGTTCTTCGAATTGTTGAAAAGCCTCACTGCTGATAGCAGAAAAATGCATTTCCCACGTGACGGAAATTTTGTTGAATTTTGCATCAAGACATCACAAAAGACAAGTGCACTGCCGTCGATTTTGTAGAAAAAAAAAGAAGAAAGGAACATTGTTCTCCAAACAGAAAGCAACTATATACCTCGGAAATGTCGCTCTCCGCATACACAAAAGTTATGAGGTTGATTCCTTGTCAAATGCAGAATGTATTTTTCTTCAGAGAAGTCAAGATGTGACCCAAGAAAAATGCTCGTTAAATGAACTTCCTTTTGTGGAACTCAATATTTTCTTTCAGGGAGCATGTCATTAGCATATATATTTTTTTTGAAGAGTAATACTGACAGGGAAGCACGAAGATGGAAGCTCAGCAGATTCATGCCTCACTTCAGAACTTTTTGATTGCCAAGAATGTTATGATTTCAGGGAGCATGTCATTCGTATATATATTTTTTTTGAAGAGTAATACTGACAGGGAAGCACGAAGATGGAAGCTCAGCAGATTCATGCCTCACTTCAGAACTTTTTGATTGCCAAGAATGTTATGAAGAATGTTTTCTGAGCCCTTTTCGTTCAAACGCATCGCAGTTTAGGAATGATTCTTGCACAACTGTACAGCTAAACACTATAGTAAAAACTTTTTCTCAGTTAACTCATCATCTGTCCCAATATAAACTGGAAGCCTGAGAACGAACGCTGATCGAAAAATCGGGTCAGTGCAACTAAAACGCCAAGTTTATATCGGTATTTCTAAAATTAAATTGTAGAACACATTGCTCATTGTGATGGAAAATTCAGGAGATTTTTATGACGTCAAAATTGCTGCCGTAGCGCTTCATGCCACATTGAGACATATTTCATGCATATCACAAGGATTAATGATGTCTTATTTCAGTAATAATTTCTTTTTCCGGTGATTTTCCCACGTATATCCAAACATGAGGATATTTTCTAAGGGGAAATCGCAAATAGGTCGAAAATGCCATCAATCGTTTCAGTTGGCACTGATTCTATTCCCCACTGATGTAAATGAACCATGATATGCAGCGTTAACTTAATCAGCTGAAATGACCATGAATTTGATTCGGTAAACTTTCGGAAATGTCATAGCTTTTCACTTTTTTTATATGAAACAATTAAAGCGCATATGCTCTTCACTGAAATCACATGTCATGGTTCCAAAATTTTATAGGCAGTCGGAAAGTTTTCTTCAAGATTCAAAGGCTGTAAGTATCATAGTTTTCCAACTATTTCTCGTCACCAAAATTTTTCCAACGGAAGTTGAACCTCCTTTCTGTCTCGAGATTTTCACGTATCTCAAGATTTAAAAACTTACACCACACTAAAACTTACGGAAATTCTCTCAATATACTTTTTTAATCTCTCGCATTCGAATGTTAAAGGAGTCTTATTTGCTGCGTAGGAAGTATGAACCCAATGATTGCCAAGAAATGTGATTTTTTCTGAGTTAACGGTCTTTTCTCTAAAAAAAGTGCTTCCTTGGGATTAGTTGGTGTACAGTAATGTTCGCGAATGAACTTTACGATGTTGTTTTACATAGGGGTAGACTCTGCGAGAGGGGTAAAAGTTAAAGTACTTTCATTGTATTGTTGAAAAAAAACTACATTGAAAAGTCGAAGCAGACCGAAATTGAACCTGCATTCAATTGGAATTCATCCAGTATTACATCATTTGCCATATTCAAGCTGCCGTGTCAGTTTTGTTTGAATGCCTGTAGTTCAGAAAATATTGATAAAGCTTAAAAATTTCCAGCAAATGACGCGCACTCATTTTTGTTACAATTTTGAAAATTGTGTAATCGCATGTCCCATGAAGCCTTATTAAATCAGCTTTTTCTGTGGTCTGAGCCAAATGAATTGAACAAATGGTATACACCTGTTAGAAACTGTAAAAAAGGTAGTTAAAACTGTTTTTCTAGTTTTTTCCATTGCTGTTCAACTGCTGATTATTTTCTTTAGTTGCAGCATTGTAAAAGCAATTTTTTTTTCTGATGACAGTTATCCTTCTCATATGAGAATGTTTTTCTGTACGCTAAACTTTTTCAGTGCTGTTTTGATTCCTCATAATTCCATTCAACAATAAAAAAGCATTAAAAATTACTAAGGATGAAACATTAAACCATGTACATTTGAACATGTATGACCCCCTCTGACCACCCTTAGTAAAATAACCCCCTAATAAAGTAAAAAAAAAAAAATTTTCCAGTCCCTGTCTGAATTTCCTTAGAAACAATATTATTTTTGTCGTGATCTTGAAAAGTAATACTTCAGTGGTACTTGAGAAAACACAGAACTTCTACACACCTGCGGGGGAGAAAATCGGCTGTTGACACTGGACGAGGTGATCAGCACATCCGGTCGAGAAGCTTCCGGTGGTCGGCTCGCGGCAATAAGCGACAGCACTGGGTGAGGGGTCGACAAACTCAGTGCAGGGGATGGGAATGCACTTGTCGACCCCAATGGTGGCGCCGCAGTGAAATGCTGAGGCGGCTGAAACGGCCTGAATCCTCCAACAAATGTTTGCTGTGCACCTATTATAGGCGGCTGCTGTTGCTGCCGCTGTTGAGGTGTAGATGGCGACTGATTGAACTGGAATTGAGGTGGTTGTTGTTGTTGTTGTTGTAATTGTTGCTGTTGTGGAGGAGCCACAGTTCCAAAGAATTGCTGTTGGGGGAATCGAGGTTGATTCTGTTGAACTTGTTGCACTTGCTGCTGCTGCGGGTTGTTGTTAAACTGCTGCTGCTGAGGGTTGTTGTTAAACTGCTGTTGTTGCTGCTGCTGTTGAGGCTGGTTGTTTGGGCTGAATGCAGCTCTAGGCACTTGGTTCTGTGGTCTATTATTGTTCAAAGGCACTGGGAACCTGTTGAGCTGCGGAAACGGTCTCCTGTTCTGATTATTATTATTATTATTATTTGGAGGAACGCCAGTTTGTGCGGGTCTGCCAAAAGCAGCAAAGAGCCTGGTTGGAGCCTGTGGCAAAGGGAATCTCTGCCTAACATTCGCAGAAAATCTGTTGTTGTTTCCGGATGGTGTGGGATTTCGGGTGCCACCTGGTGGTGAAAATGCAGTTGGTGCTGGTCTGACGGTTGTCACCTGCTGCTGTTGTTGGTTATTGAATGGTACTCTTTGCTGGGCAGAAACGGTTCTGGATTGTTGAGTGAGCTGCTGTGCTGGAGGACCCCTGTTTTGCACTTGGCGGGATTGCTGAATTTGGGATTGGCTTATTATGGGTGGGGCCTGAAGCCTATTGAAGTTTTGGTTCGGTCGTTGTTGAGGTGCTGTACTTCTGGGGCCAGCACCGATCGATGGTCTGTTGTTTACACTTTGCAAACGGTTGCCTCCTGGCGTAGATTGGCTTATGAACCCGGGTCTACCTGCAGAAGGGGTTTGCGTACCCACAGGCAATTCCTGTAGTTCAAAAGCAAAACAAAACAAAATTGAAAAGCAAGCTAAACTTCATACCAGCTTCCTCTCATTGGATGAATGCTCTTTAACTTGATTAGAAGTATAACCTCGCATGGTTTGATTCAAAAACGTACCACGATAAGATGGATTCGAAGGTTCGAAATGAGATTTTTTGATGTCCTTGACAATAAAGAAAATGTGTGTCAGAAAACCAGAGCACAATTCAGTAACAGGTACTGCTCAATTGAGTGGATATTTTGTAGGTTTTTCACTCTTTTTCAAAGATTTGGGCTACATCCAGCATCTTGAACCTTCTGCAGTGGGGAATGGGGTTCTTTCCATTGCATATGGCAGTATGGTACTGTCATTTTTTTGCAGGCTACTGCTGGATTTAAGTTTGACAGAAGGTCACCAGGAAATAGCATATCTACTCAAACATCATGTGCACCTTTCTCTACAATATCAAGTCATATGTCATCTACTCATCTGACAGTTGAAAAAACAAGAGCTTTTTTTGCAACTCCAAAACTTTGTTGCTCAGATATACAAAATATACAAAAAAATTCATGACTGAGGCCATATTTGCTCATGCAAATTTTTTAAATTTCACAGTGTCCTGTGAGGAATTCATGCAAAAACTCCCAGCAAAGCCACTGAAGGGTTAACCCTTCTGTGGCAAAATCAGGATATTTTTGCAAAATTTTGTCTCCATGATGGCTGCATTAAAAAAAGCATATACTGTATATGATTTTTGAACCAGACAGGCCTAAGTCAGGAAAAATACCAGCATTTTTTCTTTGCATTCCCGGCATTGGATTAACATTAGCAATTTCTTGAGACAATAGGATTTTCTGCCCCTGGATTTTTCCCAACTTAGGCCTTGGCAACCTTGGGCAATTCAGTGACCTTTGGTCAAACTGAAATGCCCCCCCCCCCCCCCACCCAAAAAACCCTGACAGATGTCCAGGAGCCCTCCACCATCCAAGGCCTAATTGCAGTATGAACATGTCATAATCAAAATTTCTGCAGGATTCATGTCATAATCAAAATTTCTGCAGGATTCATGCATTTTTCTGTTGAAATTTGTTAGCTATGGTATTATAAAAAAAACTGTGTCAAAAAACAAATTTGTTCTGTTTACATAAGAAAGTATTTTTTTAAGCACATGCGATTTGGATAAAGAACAGATCATGCCACATAGTTGATGCTTAAACAAATTACATATGTTGTACACTTGTACCTGGTACCACTGTACAGTACTATACTTACTCTTGTAGTTGAAGGTAGAGCAGAAGAAGGGGGTCCCCGCTGTTGGGTGAATTGTCTGGGGGGACTATTGGTGAACCGGTTATTATTGTTGTTGTTGACACCATTTGGGGAATTGTTTGGCCTTGGTCCTAGTCCTGAAGGCCTGTCCACCAGAGATTGAAGTGCCGAAATCGCAGGTAACACATTGGCAGTCACTGCTTGCGTAGGAACCCTGTTGGAACTCGTTGGGCGTGATTGCCCTCCTGGCCCAAACCCAGGTGCGAAAATCGGCGGCCCCACTTGCTGTCGTTTCCCGGCAACTGGTGGCGCTTGAAGAGAGCCCTTTGGCACGTTATCTGTTCGTCTCGTGGTAACTTTTTGCTTGGTCGATGTTGAACCCGACACCGACTGGTCCTGGGTAAACCTCCTTTTGCTGGTTTTCAGTTTTCTTCCGTATTGGAAGGATTCTGGAAGGAAACGATTGCAGACTTTGAACGCGAAACAAATCCCGGGATTTTTGGGGGGAAGGCGCAAAAAATTGTCGTTCATCATGATCGTTATTCATATACTCGAGGATCAAGAATAACCCAAACATTCCTGTTAGAATGTAGTAACGACCAGGTCGCCTGAATATATATGAAAAAAACGTGTTCGAACAGGACATCGACAAGCCTGATTAAACCTGCATAAACTGGAGCAAGACCTCATCAAATCAACAAAATTAAGATAAAACAACATGACCTAAACCTCACTGGACCTCAAAAATTTATAAAATAATTAAGGGTACAGCAATGCAAAAGTAATTGAAAACCGTGTGAAAAACAAAGCATGAATTCCGAATTATTATTTTTATCGTTCTTTTGCCAATTAAATACTAAAGAGAAAAAAATCAGCAGTTGATGCATTTTCATTTGCTTCCCTGCTCGTACTTTCCATATATTGTAAGAAGAATCATGCTGTCTGGTCTGATACACTGTTCCATAACAACCTTTTAGGGCCATGGACCAGCAAATTTCCGTAAAATTTTTGTGGAATGGTATATTTCCAAAAAATTTCTCCACACCAGAAAAGTTTCATAAAACGTTTGCAGACAGAAAGTTTTGTCGGAAGGACTTCATGGCAAATATTTAAAAATGTTCTGCTGCTGTGCAAAAATTTAGGAAAGAACCAATGAAGAAGCTATATAGTGGGATGCCTTCAAAAATTAGGAAGGTGGGCTTGGAGGAAGGTTTCTCAAAGTGAAAAAAAATTAACATAATTTCTTTCAGCATGTGAATATTTCTCTGAAGTGTACTTAAAAGTACAGCCAACTTCCGTTTTTTGTAGATAATTTCAACTACCATTTTTTTTGCAAGATATCAGATGAAGATAACAGACTTCATTGCTACTTTTCTCAATTTACTATGCTGCACCAAATTCCCCATGGACCAGCAAAAAAAACGTCTGCGGGCCGGCGCTGGTCCGTGGACCATGGGTTGAGGAACACATGCAGTCCTAAATTGCTATGCTTTTGATTTAATTATGCTGGAAAAAATTTCCTGCCGACCGGCAAAAACTTCTGTGGACCCGTGCTGGTCCGTGGACCACTGCGGGTTGGGAACACTAGCCTCTATAGGAAATGTTTTAGTTATACAAAACTTTTTTGAAATCATGTGACCTTAAATGACTGGATTATTTCAAATTGATCTTAAACAACGACAAAAATTTTGAAATTGAAAAGCATGAAGACATTGACGTGACACATCGGCAAAAGCAGATTCAGGTGATTATATAGAACTTTGTGCTCCGGAAGGAAAAGCAAAGTTTTTTCAGACAAAAAAGCTTTAAAAAGAAGGCAAAAAGCGTTTAAGATGCAGTATTATTCATTCATTGAAGAAATTATGATCGAAAAATTTGCTGCTGCATTCCAAGCTTTGTATAATTCGTATAATTAATATAAAAGTTTTGTTTCCATGAATCTGTTCAGAAAAAAAATTTTGGTTGATAAATCCCCCCCCCCCCCCCTCTATAAGAATATATACTCACTTGGAGCAGCATCTGAAGCGTTCACATTCCTCTTGCTGTTGGAAGGCTTCTTCGTCTTAAATAAAGTTTGCCTTTTTGACGGCAAACTGGGACGTGGTGAACTCAACAATCTTTCTTCTGGCATTTTCACGACTTTCTGATTGTCAACAGCAGTGATTGGCGGTGGCATCTTGCTATTCGTTGGTGAGGATTTGGATCTGGCTGATGGCGAGTGCGAATTAGCATACTGATGTTGCTGCTGCTGCTCCTGCTGCGGCCTCTTATTGAGCCATGGCTGCGTGATGACGTTTCTCCACGCCGAGAGGTTAGCCCGATAATCCGCTTCCGATGGATGAATAAACCCGCAGAGGAACTTGAATTTGTATTTGGAAAAGACGAAAAGAAAAAGGCTGAAATCATGTATATCCGTTGAAAACTGAAAACTGAGCTTTCATATTTCAAAACGCTTCTATTTGAAAGTCACCAAATGCACTATCAAGTGCAGCTTTCAATGTTCATTTGCTAGAGAGAGCACTATACAGTCGACCCCGCACAACATACCTCCTGCACAACAGATTTTTGCAACTGACCATCTCTCTGGAGGCGGTTTTTCCTCTTGCAGAATGGACTAAATCTACCTAAGAGACTTCTATTGGTTTGAAATTGATGGTAAAAAGTAAAAACTTTAATTTTTAGTGATTGAATTTGCACAAAAGACTTTTCACACAACAGACTAATATCTTGCACAAATTAAGTCTGGTCTGCATGGGTTAACTGTTCAAAAGCCCCAAATATGTTTGCATTGATTACCTGTAGCAGATTTTCATTAGAAATTGACATGAAATAGATTCAGTGTGGAAAACCTCATATAAGTTCTGCCGGTAGCTCTCAATTTGACTGCCCCTCAATTTGTCCATCAAACAATTCAGTTGTCAAAGTTGCTGGCAAGTTGACTCACAATTTGACATCTGTCCCACAATTCAACCCATCACAGAGAGTCACAAAATTTCAAATACAATTTAGAAGGTATTGGATTTGATGCTGTCTCTCAAAGTCACAATTTAACCGATTTCCAATTTGCCACTACAGTATATTACTCCAGCAATGGATCAGGGTCAAATTGTGTGGTACCACCTGTACAGTCAAACCTCAATTGCCACCAATATTACATTCAAGCGTTTTTGGCTGTTCAACCCCTGTGCAGCAAATTTAAGCACTTACCACAAAATTTCTCATACAGAAACAGGCTGAAGACCTTGTGCTTTAAATAAACTTTTACTGCTGCTTTGTCTTCAATATCAGGGATGGGTGGGTGTATGCAGCATACCTGTAGGATTTTCAGTTTTATTTTGTGAAGTGTGTTCTCTTTTGTTTGTGCCTTGTGAACACTGCTGAAAAGCGGCAAATAAAGTTTTCTGTTCATTCATTCATTCATTCATGCCACAAATTGCCCCTCAATATCAAAAATTTTAATGAATTTGCATATTTTAACAAAGCAGCTCAAGTTGAAAAAGTCCTTTTTTTCTGAATCCTGCTGAAAATTTGGCCTGGATAATTTTAAAAATTCCTTTTACAGTGTGGCATTTCTTTCAGCATTCCTAGCATAGGATCAACATGCGGAATTTCTCCAGACATTATTGGGATTTCCTATACAGGTATGTTTCCTGACTTAGACCATCAACATAGCCTTGGGGCATTTTGGCAACCTTTGTCAAAATGAAATGCCCCTCCCCGCAGAAAAATCCTGCATCTATTGAAGAAGGGAAAATAACCCTCTGCCATGCAAGGGTTAATGGGGTTGGTGATTTATAAAAAAAATTCACAGTAATGTGAAAATAAAGTGTAATAGGAAATAAAATTCTGATTATTCTACAAAACAATCAAAATAATCCTAGGATGCGTAAAGTATGCCTATAGCTGATGTCCCCATGCAGTTAATAACGTAATCCTTGTGTTCGATATTCCTCCCACAGAAAATGGAATAGTTTCGGTGGGTTGTCAGAGACAAAATAAATTTGCATGAGCATATTTGAGCTGTCAATAATTTTGAGGGAAGGAGTTTTATTAGATTTTTGAATCTACAATGGCTGGTTCGTATGTTTTGATACTTTGAAGAATAGATCCAACTGAATGTAAACAATTTCAAAAAAAATGTTCACTTGCAGGACCTTATTCTTTAACCAACTTAAGAATCAAATTTATTTAGCCTTCGTCGTACGAACAATGTGCTTTGGAAAATATTTTGCTGAATTGATGTGAAATCATCTGTTCGTAGTTCATGTCGGGACGATTCCAGATTTATCATAAAATTCGAAATTAGAACTCGAGCAGTTCCAATATAAAATGTTTCTTTCCATTCAAATGTGCGAGAAGAGGCTCCATTTTCCGAAGGTCGCTTTCGTTATGAAGATTCCAGTCTAAGATATTCAATAATACTTGAGAGCATTTAAAAAGATTTATTTCAAATATCCGAATTAATAACTGAATATTTGAACACGGCCGACAATGCGTTCATCTTGCAAAGTTTCATTGGAATTCCAGGACTGTTGGTTACCGTTCAGTTCTTTCGAATGGTACCTTTAATTCATCTGCAGCGGATTATTTCCTGAAAACGGTAATTATTGTTTNTCAACCCCTGTGCAGTAAATTTAGGCACTTACCACAAAATTTCTCATACAGAAACAGGCTGAAGACCTTGTGCTTTAAATAAACTTTTACTGCTGCTTTGTCTTCAATATCAGGGATGGGTGGGTGTATGCAGCATACCTGTAGGATTTTCAGTTTTATTTTGTGAAGTGTGTTCTCTTTTGTTTTTGCCATTGGTTTGTGCTTTGTTTCATGGTTTGAAGTGATTGAATGTCTTTGGGGGGGAGTTGGGTTAGGTGGGGAGGGGGTTTGGATGTGGGAGTCTTGGTTGTGCCTTGTGAACACTGAAAAGCGGCAAATAAAGTTTTCTCTTCATTCATTCATTCATACCACAAAATTGCATTTGCCCCTCAATATCAATAATTTTAATAAATTTTCATATTTTAACAAAGCAGCTCAAGTTGAAAAATTCCTTTTTTTCTGAATCCTGCTGAAAATTTTTCCTGGATAATTTAAAAAATTCCTTTTACAGTGTGGCATTTCTTTCAGCATTCCTAGCATAGGATCAGCATGGGGAATTTCTCCAGACATTATTAGGATTTTCTATACAGGTATGTTTCCTGACTTAGACCATCAGCACAGCCTTGGGGCATTTTGGCGACCTTTGTCAAAATGAAATGCCCCTCCCCGCAGAAAAATCCTGCCTCTATTGAAGGAGGGAAAATAACCCTCTGCCATGCAAGGGTTAATGGGGTTGGTGATTTATAAAAAAAATTCACAGTATTGTGAAAATAAAGTGTAATAGGAAATAAAATTCTGATTATTCTACAAAACAATAAAAATAACCCTAGGATGCGTAAAGTATGCCTATAGCTGATGTCCCCATGCAGTGAATAACGTAATCCTTGTGTTCGAAATTCCTCCCACAGAAAATTGAATAGTTTCGGTGGGTTGTCAGAGACAAAATAAATTTGCATGAGCATATTTGAGCTGTCAATAATTTTGAGGGAAGGAGTTTTATTAGATTTTTGAATCTACAAGGGCTGGTTCGTATGTTTTGATACTTTGAAGAATAGATGCAACTGAATGTAAACAATTTCAAAAGAAATGTTCACTTGCAGGACCTTTCTTTAACCAACTTAAGAATCAAATTCATTTAGCCTTCGTCGTACGAACAATGTGCTTTGGAAAATATTTTGCTGAATTGATGTGAAATCATCTGTTCGTAGTTCATGTCGGGACGATTCCAGATTTATCATAAAATTCTAAATTAGAACTCGAGCAGTTCCAATATAAAATGTTTCTTTCCATTCAAATGTGCGAGAAAAGGCTCCATTTTCCGAAGGTCGCTTTCGTTATGCAGATTCCAGTCTAAGAGATTCAATAATACTTGAGAGCATTTAAAAAGATTGATTTCAAATTTCCGAATTAATAACTGAATATTTGAACACGGTCGACAATGCGTTCATCTTGCAAAGTTTCATTGGAATTCCAGGACTGTTGGTTACCGTTCAGTTCTTTCGAATGGTACCTTTAATTCATCTGCAGCGGATTATTTCCTGAAAACGGTAATTATTGTTTTAAAATTCAATTATTTCTGTAATTTTGTGATATTTATTCTCGGTCAGATTTTATTTTCTCGATTACATTCCAACTTAGCCACGAAAAAGTCAGAATTATGTTGATGAAATCGCAAGCGAATGCGGTTATTCGAGTGGCGGAATTTCTTCAAACCTCAGCTAATCTAACTATCGCTTTTCAAGTGCTCGTAATAACTTGCAGTCAATTTCAGCTATATTGTAAAGCTTTGCATTTCCATAAATTGGCACATCCACCGAATCATTCTCGTGGTTTCCGAGCCATCATTCGGACTTTCAAAGAAACGAGGTGGTTTTAAGAAGGAATATCTCCGCAGTCCTCATCAAAGTAGGACAGTACCGCAAGTACCTCTTTTTTTCGAATGCGGCTGAGATCCGACTTCTTCATAATACTTCCTGCGGAAGTACAGTGCATAAAACTCTCTGCGGAGAATCCGAGCTTTACACGCTTAAACAAGGACAAGCATTTCCGCTCACCGGATATATACTTTTATCTTATTTGCGGAAAGAGAATGGGAACCGAAAGCAAAGGGAAAGTGCAATAAAATATTTTTCGTTTAGCATCATTTCTCATTTTACACTGGAAACCTCAACCATTTCATGGACTTTTACGAACGGCTTTGTTTCTATGCGGCATTTATTATTGTTGAAAATCCCTTTGAAAGTAAAACATGTGTCGGAATCCGTACTTTAGAACCGAAGAGTCGGGAATATCGCAACGATCGCATTTCCGCATTCCGAAAGAATGAATAAATAAAACATGGACTGCATTTGTTGTAGTACAGCAGCAGCTCGTCTGGGAAACGTGCGGGCACTCGAAAGTTCGCCAAATAAATTTTGCACCGCATTATTGCGAAACAGGCGGAGAAAGTAACGCTGGAACGCATAGGATTAGCAGTGTTTTCACTGACATCTTTCTGCTCTGAGAAGAACATAGGCTTTTTCCACGTATTTTTTCGTCTTCCCTGTATTACGATTCCTCATGAGTTGTGAGCCCACCAGGAAATTGGCGGGAGGATTTTCTTTCGGCAGTGTTTTGCGCGGTTGCAACACTCCGGAACTGGTTTTCCGTTTCCATCCAGGTTTGGCGTGAATTTTTATGCAATACCGAATTCCGGATTAGCTCATAGGCTAGCTTGTACGGATGGATGAAAATCTTCTGCGGAAATTATTCCGTTCGTATTATTCATGAAACGAACAGCTGAACTAACTCCCTTTATATCGAAATTGATTCGCTCCTCACGTATTCTATTGTGTTAAGAGGACTTTTCTACGATTCTTGGTTGTCTCGCCAGCTAAAATGAATTTATGGTGATTCTCGGAAGTTCACTTAAAAGTTTCGCAGGATTCAAAAAATGAACTGAAACTGCCGATACGTTAAATGAACCGCATTTTTTTTCCCAACATAAATCTTGCTCATTGGAATGCACTCGAAGCGCTTTCCTCCGGAAACAGCAATTTATTCCGAAGGAATGCGCAGAAAAACGTTGCGTTGCGCAATTTGCATGTGGGCTATATTACAACCTACTTTCAGCGTGGTTGCAACGATCGCACTTGAGCTGATTATATTGGTCAAGATATTAATTTATTGATACAAATGGCAAATTTATGAAAATTTGTTAAATATCTACAAATGGGCTCACTTCCAAGTTCCCAAGAAAATTTGGGTTACGCAACCCATTTTCAAGAGAGTTGTGTTGAGTAATTGGGGCCTATCAGAATGATTTGCGTTCTTGAGTTATTCGAGTTTTCCCGTGAATATGTGTCAAATATTTGTAAAACTATGATCTGGCACGACCGAGTCAAACCCCCGTCTGAATTGAATTTTCTGAATCCGGATGAATTAGCGTAATCGCATCCAGTGCAGATCAAACAGTATTAAAATTATTGCCTCGTTAAATAAAATATTTTAGGCATTTCATAAATTTTGAGATGCTCTTTCCCACTAATCCAACAATTGAACTTCTTCTCCACATTTACAGTGTACAGTATATGCATGAAATCGTTCATTTGTTGGTAGGTTCAAATAAAACCTCATGAAAAAATGACAAAAGATCCATGCAAATAAAATATCTTCTTTGTTCGATTACCCAGTGCACTTCTCCTGAAAATCTTGCACCAACAAATGACTATACTCCTCAGACTAAAACACAAACTGGTTCAATACACTGTATTTGAATCCAATTATAAATTAATCATAACAGGACCGCAGATTGATTGCCTCTTTCCTGTCTTCCGTTCATTTGAGTATTCATTTATAATGGTATCTTTTGCAATCGCTGAAGAGGGATTTTTTTTACTGAAAACTGCATGGGTCGCGAGTCTCTTGCATGCAGGGTTTCGTTTTCACCTAATTTTGCAGCTGCAAATTGTAAAATGAGCATCTTATGCAATACTGAAAGTACTCCAGTAATTAAACCAGGTACTCATTCAACAACAGTACATTCATTATGAGTGGCAATTCAATGAACTGCATCTCGGCAAGAAATTGGACAACCTCTTTCTCTCCAGAGCTAAAATGTACAGTAAACATTAAAAACAAACTGTTTCAACTTTTTTGGATTATGCACTGCAAGAAAGGCAATAAAAAGGAAACTTGAGTAGATTCAAAGGTCCAAAGCCTGCAGCTAATTTCTAATGGTCAATTTTAATGCTCAGTTTCTGAAAAAGAATGTTGCAATAAAACTAATAAATCACCTGAACTCAGAAATTCCTTGTATGATTTTAGAACAATTGAGAATAATTTCACTTGAATTTTGGACAATGTCATGAAAATTTCTCTTTTATTTTGGAAAATACTTCACAGGTGGCGCCCTGCACTTTGACCCTAATACATTGCTGGACATAAGGTCAAACTGTGAAGCAGTCACATTTGAAGGCAGCATCTAATGCCATATGGTTCCTACACCACATTCAAAGTTTTGCATCTCTATGAGGGTCAAATTGCAGGGCAGATGTCAAATTGCAGGGCAGATGTCAAATTGAGAGTCAACCTCCCAGCAAATTGAATTTGTTGGTAAAATTGGCATGGAGGTTGACTAGCAATTTCACCCTTGCCCCAAAATTCAATCAGCTTTGGCAATTTTTTCATATTTTTACTCAACCTTTTGAATTTCAAGGAGTTTCTTGCGATTTTCAATTTGACCCAAGTTCAGTAACGGATTAGGGTCAAATTACAAGGTACCACCTGTATTTACCAACTACATACTTGAGGCAATATTACACTTAGGTTCATGCACATATTTATTTTCTAATGTCACCAAATGATTTTTTTTACACAGTTTGCTTCATTTGTTCAAAATATGGCCAGAAAATCTTAAAAAGACAAGATAAAAGCACACTTTTTTTTCTTCAACTTTGGCCGGTCATGTTTTGTTTCATCTTATTGTTTCAAGTCATATCAAATCTGAGTCTTTCAGAATATCCCTACATCATCAATACATATTAGGCTATATTTTTGAATGCCGCTTTTTAAAGAGGAAGTTTTTGCGACATTTTTCTTGAAAACAGAAAATCCAGAAAACGTCCAGTGTTGCACATTTTTCTCTGGTTATTGAAAAATGACATTCATGACCACAGACATAGAATTTCACGCATTTCTAAAGCAAAGAAAAATTGACAACATGCTCACCATAAAACAGCTGATCGTGAAGATTGCCCGGACAGAGATCAATTTGCAAAACATGGCCGAAAGCCCCATCTTTCAGCGAAGAAGGTCTCCGTCAAAACGTCGACGGGCCAAAAAATAATAATAAAAACAGAGCACTCCACAGGAAGTTCGAATGTTTTTTTTTTTAATCCAAAGGGCTCATTCTGTTCCCGTGTCCTTTCACATCCCGAGTCCCGTTTTTTTTTTGTTTTTTTTAACTCAAGACAAAAGATTCACTGATCTTGCCGAATGATCCCTGAACAATATTGTGACATTCGTCACTCTTTCATATCGCTATTTCCTGGGTGTCGATGATGCTGTCGAGACCGGATATGAGACAGAGAAATTTTAAAAACAACGTTCCTCCAAAAAAGAACAGTCTTCTCACGCGTCTTGCACATCCGTGACGGTGTCCGAACACATCATGCGTCTTCGCAAGCGATACGTTTCGGATTCAGACCGAAGAACCATTTCCCACTTTTTCAAATCTTGAAAGATAAAATCTCAATTAAATTTCTTTCGTCTACTCACACCGAAAAGTTCCGGAATAAACGAAAAAAAATATTTCGGAAACGACGAGATCTTTTGGGGCGTGGGGAAATAATAAGCGTATTTTTTGCAAGAGTTCGAACACGGTTGGGAGAAATCTCCTCCCAAAATTAGAACAGACGAACCTGATTGTGTGCGGAAACCGAAGCTACTATCAGTTCCTCTGTAGGCAAACATAATATCATGAAATGCTGAATATTTTGAAACGTGGAATTCAATGAAAAATTTGCATTTTGTTTCGCACACGGATTCAGTGACATTGAACAGCATAGACGAGTTCTGAATTGAAAAAAACAAACTGAACCCGTTCGAAATTTCTTTTCAACCGTCTGAACAGGTTATCATCTTGGGAATCGAATCTTGATTTTCCGAATATTTTCCAGTTACTGGGAACACAGTTGTTTTTCCACAGTGGTTTAAATATTTGTTGGTGAATCAGTGCGAAGCATACCTTCAAATTTTCGTATTCCAATGGAAAATTGCTTTGGAATTCTTTAATTTTTGCATTCTGAGATTGCTTAAAAATTCTCAGAAAGAAAAACAGAGAAAGCAGATTGAAGCTCAGTTTTTAATTAATCAATGGATAAGAAGGTCACATTTCTGTACCTATAATGCTCATGATGAATTGGAATTCATAGTTTCTGAACAAGCCTTTTGGCTATGCTGAAAAACTGAGCAATAACCTGCTGAACACCGAAATCCTTCACATGATTTCAAAACAATCAAGCTAAATTTCACCTGAATTTCGCACAAAGCCATGAACTCTCACCATTTTTGGGATACTACAGCACATCATTTCCAACCAGCTCGACAGAACCAAGGTCTGCCCTGAAATTTCCGCTTGAAAAAAATATATAAAACACAGATTGAATCCCAGTTTCTAATAATTTGATCCCTGGATGTTAGGAGCACAAACATGGCGCGAATTTTATGAAACAATTAGCTGAATTTTCATAGAACTTTGCAAAATGTCAAGAAATTTCCCTATTCTTAGAATGCCGTCATTTCCTACCTACATACTCAACAAAAAATTAAAAGAAAGCTTGATATATCCTTTAAAAACGAAATTGAGACTGAAGCTTGCTTTTTAATGATTTCATCACTGAACGTTAGTTAAGCGCAAACGTGGTGTAAATTTCCTGAAAAGAATTGAGCTGAATTTAAATCGAAATATGCACAATTTCATGATATCTCACAATTTCTTGGAATGCTATCAGCAGTTCCCAGAAGCCCACCTATACTTAAAAAAAAATTGCAACGAGATTTTCATTCCAATCTCCTTTGAAAATAGAAAAAAACAGCAGATCATGGAGATGGAAGACCAGTTTCTAATGATTTTATCCCCAGATGTTAGAAGCACAAACATGGCGCAAATTTCATGGAAATTGCGTTAAAATTGGCATCCTTTTTTCGACAGGCTTCACAAAAATTAACACCATACATCACGTCACACTGTAAACAGCAGATAAAAAAAAAGGGTGGGGGGCATGAATGAGGAAAACTATTTTCGGGGTGCGGGAAACACAGTGTGGAGGAACGAAGACCGAGACCGACCGAGTGAGAATGCCGATTGGCGGCCGAGTCGACCGCCTCTCGGCAGCACGAATTTCGCGTCTCCTCCGCGCCACATTTCAGCAGCCTTATCGAATCATGTCATCGCCTCCTCTTTGCTTCTTCACGCAGCACAACGACTTCTTCTTCTTCTTCTTCTTCTTCAAATGACGCAAAAGTATAAATGGAGGAAGAATTAAAAGAAAGAATGAAGCGAAAGCCGAATGTTGATCCCGGATCAAGGATTTTCAATTTCCTCGTCTCTTAACTATGTCTTGGTTGGCATGCCAGAATTCCGCCGAATAAGCATTCCAACGCATTTTCGCCACCGCAAACTTTGATTGAATCTTCGGCAGGACGTCTTTTCGTATTTTATCAACACGATCGTTGAATATATATATATGGGTGTGATTTTTTTTGCTCTGAAGAATATCGTTTCGTTCTACTGACGGCACATCCGTGCCAAAGTCTTCATTAATTGAGAAATGCAAAGTCGAATAATAGTAATTCCACTTGAAGTGGGTTGCCATGAAATGAACGATTAAAAAGCAATGTCGGTCCTATCGAAAAATCATGATTAATTAACGATCAGCAAGGATTTGCCGTAATTAATATTTTTCTAACGAAGTACCCGTCCTTCAAAGGACAAAGCAGAGGCGATTCCACCAGCAAAAAATTAAAGTTCTAACTCAGTCAACCGAAATGCAGTATTACAATCCTATTTCCAAAAATGTAAATCGAAACGAGGAAAGGAAATCACAAAAGCATGAACATCTACATGCATGAAAGCAGCGAGGAGTCGTCTACATGAATCAGGTCACAAACACTTTTGTTAATTTTTTCCATTGAAACAATCAACGAGTTTAGATGCGTTTTTCATTCAAACAATCATTTTCAACATTATCTACACGAATCAGATCACAGTTTTCTTCTATATTTTTGCACTTTGCTATGCATATTTGAATGAAAATATACGAATTTATCTGAAAATATAGATTTCTTGTATTTTTCAAGACGTTGTATACGCCATTGTTGTAGCTGTGGCTGAAGGAGGTTGTAGTTATTTTGATGCTTAATTTTATAGCATTGTGCAATTCTTAACAGATGTCAGGAGACGTCCATGTATTTCGGAAAAATTGGAAAACTCAATTTGATCAAGTTTTATTCAGTTAACAAAAAAGTTAAGGTTGATTAGGTTCTTTATATTTTCCTGCAATGGCAGCATAAAGCATTCCTGTTCCAATCATTTTGATGAAGAAGTAAAACAGTTTTCTGAATATTTTTCCCGATCAATTGATTCTTGATGAATTATTCGATTATTAAAGTGCAGTGAAATTTTCAGTAATTCATGGTCGATCATGATTCATAAGTAATTAAGCTGCTGTGCTGGAAATAGGGATCTATCCCACAGATTTACGAAAACCAATCTCAAGGAACATCAAGAAACGTTATCTAGATTTGCTTACAATCTTTAGCTTTGCTTTTTATACATAAGTTTTTCTTTTACTACTGCCAGCAAGTGTAAAAACAACAATTGTTACCTCTTTTCCAGAGCTTTGTAAGGATTCTTGACTACCGTCTTACTTGAAACTGTAAGTTGAGTAGAATAAAATCGTCAGCCGGCCATCAAATTTCCTCAAGTGGCCTTTTCCGCAGAAATGCTTCCATTTGTTTTAAAGTGAATATTCCAGCAGCATTATGACAATACCTTTCACAAAACTTCTTATAAAATTGTATTCAACCTTTCACTGATTTCCGCTGTATTTGCTGGCTAGCTTGGATCTCATGTTTATCCCCCCCCCCCTTTCCTTGGTCTTGCGTTTTTTCTTCTTTGGAAAAAAGTATGCAAGAAGCCCGGCGTAAAAATCGAGGAATTTCTAACCCCCCAAAATACAAGGAAAGTATAATGCACCTTGTCCGACATCTGTTACATGAGCAGTCCCGCTATTTCAGCTCTTTCTTCTTGGGAAAAACGTATCCTATCATAGTTCCAAGCCTTTAAAGCTTAGAGACTTCAGCTAGTATTTCACTCGTACTTCTAACATCTATGGTTTGGTTTTTATTTTCAATCGCTGAGTATAATATATTTACATTACTTCCACGCCTTTTCTGGAGTAAGCCATGCACCTTAGTTTTTTTTGCACGCCATTTTCCGAAAAAGTATCACTGCATGATACGTGCACACCTGTTTCATACAGTTGTAAGAAAAATCAAGAAAAAATGACTGACGAAAAAAAGTGCAGGAAAACTCTGGCTGCAGAAAACCCCATTGTCTCAAATAATTCTCAAAGTTATTCCTATGCTGGGAATGCATGAAAAAACACCACCCACTGAGGAACTGTTTTCATTTTTGACTCAAAATTTTCTGCAGGATTATAAAAAAAACATTGGACTTTTTCCTGACTTACGCATTGGTTCAAAAATCGTATTGTTTGATTTTCAGCCCTTGTGGGGACAACATTTTACAATACTGTAATATCCCAACTTTGCTACACAAGAGTTAAATGAAGCAACCGCTTATATGAATTCATAAGCCTTTTGATCGGATTTTTGTCAAGCAGGATTCCATGTTTATTATTTGCACCTACAATGAAGCACTCCTAATGTCTGAATAGATGTTCAATTTTTTTATTCCAAAAATTGTACTCCCTCATACCACTTGAAACCCAACTTTTCTGGCTTGATTCTGCAGAAAAATGTGCCATGGCCCTTGAGAAATGTGGTACAAGATGAAGGTCAGGCCAGTGCAGATCATTTAGACTTCTAGAGAGAAGAAACAGATTTGGAAAAAAGCAGTCCTTTCCAATCTGGCTCAAAAACATAGTCAAAACACAATGGATTTTATCAAAATTATTTTATCTCCCAACTGCATGCAACACAGTAAATTCACTTTTCGAATGCAGATCATACTGTACTGCATTTCATAAAACAGATTCAACAAAGAACGTTTTTGATTTCATCTCATTTGAACTTGAAAAAAATGATTGGATTTATTCACCTCATCATTCTTGTCTCATAATTCACAATCACAATCCGGAGCAGGGTTGCTAATTTCAATTGAAATTTGAAATGCGAAATTTAAATCACTAATGGTCGGAAAACTTTTCCCTGATGATAAAAATGGCAAGCACTTGTGCTCATTACATTCATCGCCCAACCCAAATTATGAGCATTGTGATTTCAATTGTGATTGCAATTTTGGTCAAATGCTTCAAAAATAGTATTAATTATTCCCTACTACCAGAAGTTTCGAATGAGATATGCACTTTACATAGATGGAGGAGTTAGCAAAAATCATGGATTGGCCCAGGAATTCATACCATTATTGCAAGTCCAATCCATGTGCAAAATCCGTCTCTGCTGTTGTGGATAGGAATTTTGGAGTTATTGCAGCTGCCA